GTACCAGTTTATGATAAAAAGTGTATAGACTCTATTAATGGAAATTAGGGGGGGGGGTACATATTCATTTTTAAAAAAGGAAAACGACAACACAGAAAAGAAATTTATAGAGCAAATAAAGGATTTGGAAGGAAATATTACAGAGTTTAGTCTTTTGGAATTAGAAAACAACACTTTGGAAACATAAGAAAAAAAAATCAAGGTATATGTACACTGTATAAGAAGCGGGACATGGTGGGTAGAAGAAGGAGGAAAAAACCATAAATTATTTCTGTTCTCTAGAATCTAGGAAATATACTAGTAAAGTAAAACCTATTTTAGAATTAGACACAGGAGAGATAATCCATGATCAAGCAGAAGTTTTAGAGGGAACAGAGAATTTTATGAGAAATTGTATATCAAATCTGCTCTAAGTCAAAACTTGAAAAAAATTTGATTCTGATCTTGATTTTGATGATATTAAAAATTAAATTTAACACATGCAGAAGCTGAAAAATTGGAAGTTTTTTGACCTTACAAGAGATTTCAATCACTCTTAGCAAATTGAAGTCAGATTAATCACCGGATGGTTTTTTAAAGTCTTTTGGAAAAACCTTGAACATGTTGTTATCAGATCACCTAACTATGCATACAAGAATAAACTTCTCTCTATCACTCAATGACATGATTTGATGCCCAATTACGGTTTTAAATACTTTTTTTACAAAATTGCATCAGATACTTTTGCTAAGAGAATAAAAATATATCTAGATAAACATCATTAGTGATCAATCAGACTTTATTTCGAATAGGTATATAGGAAAAAATATATATTTGATTTATATTATGCATTACACAGAGGAGGAAAATGTAGGCTTACTGTTATTTATTGACTTTGAGAAAGCCTTTCAAACCATTTCAGAGATTTTCATTCAGAACTACCTGCAATTTTTCAAATTTTGGCCCTCAATACAAAAATTAGATTGCAGAGAAGGAGATCATCTATCACCATTGTCGCAATTCATGTCCATAATTGTTTCCATATACATTGTATTTTTATTAGTATACTATATATCTAATATTTATTGCCCAATATGTTCTCCATACTTTTAAGCTTGTTTAGCAGGTTTTACCAGGCGATTCAAAATCTCATGCTTTGAGAAATCAAATTGAGCGTAGCAATTGACCAGAGCATTCGTGGTTAAGACAGCTCAAGATTTTCCCTATATGTATATATCATCTTAATTGACCAGAGGTATACCTTTTCTGAGTAAGTTTAGTTTATTTACTATTATTGGTTATTTGGTTTATGGCCGGTTCTATTCCTGAAATGGCCACAGAACTTTGTTTTCATTCGTAAGTCAGATTTAAAGTAGCATTCGCTCATGTAATGTATATATATTATAAGTAAAATTATAAGTGTATGAGCATATGTATAATATAGACATAGTGTTGTATGTACAAAGTGTGGCGTATAGTATTCGTTTCAAAGTTAAGTTATTCTCTACAAGTACTATACCAAGTCCACATGTGAACGTACATGTACTGTAAAGTCTTGAAATGTAGTCAAGTGTATATAGTGAGTAGGAAAAATTTAGAAAATTACAACTAAGTAAATGTACGGGAAAATGTGAAAGTATGAGCAAAGTATATTATGTATATATCTAACTTTGATTCATATTACAGGTCCCATTAAGCTGTTTAGGTCAATGTTGAGTGCCATCAAAGAGAACGCGTGTGTTTGTATGAAATATAAATAAAGAACTCTATTTAACAACACTGACTTGTAATTATTAGAAGCCGCCAGCCACCCTGTGACAACCATTTATCTTTCTAAATTGTGAGAAATTTTAGCAATTTTGATCAGAAAAAATAAAATGCAAGGGTATCCCTCTAAAGAATATGGAAACGTAATTATCACAATTAGCAGATAATACTTCAAATCTGTAAGATGGTAGAAAAAAATCATAAACAGAAGTAGTGAAAACATTTAAAAACCTCTTAGAAATGACTGAGTTTCATATCCTTTGTTCAAAATTCCAGGCAAAACTAAACCGCTTTAGTTCCAAGTCAAGTAATTGTTTGCTTAGGAACCGACTGGATTATTCAAGATACAAAAAATCCAGTACAAGATATCCACAGTTTGAACTTTGAAAGAAAAGTAAATAAGTTAAATATATTTGGGGTTTTTTTTATCATTTGGATGCATTAAATTATGCTAGCTAGATGATACAAATTTCGTGCTTTATTAAGAAATGCAATTAGTGCGTCCTAACTATAGCTCAAACGTGCAACTCTCTCTCTCTCTCTCTCTCTCTCTCTCTCTCTCTCTCTCTCTCTCTCTATATATATATATATATATATATATATATATATATATATATATATATATATATATATATATATATATATATATATATATATATATATACATACTTGCTTTCATTTGTTATTTCATTTATTTAATTCATCGGCTTAATTATGAGTGTACACATATCATTTTAGTTTTCTGGACATAGAAAACTATCATTTCTTATATTCAAGGTTTTAACATTAATGATTATAAGAAAACTTTCATCAACTGATTTACAATATCAACAATTTACAGATTTATACCTTTAAGTGCTCTAATTTCTCATTAAGAAAAACTTGAACTTTGTATAGGACACATAGATTGCATTTATATTTCAAATAAAGTATACTGAGCATGCTCTATGAAAGCAATATTCAGGTTATGTTAGGAAAGACAAGTCCCTTTTCTAGCTAAGGAAGCTTTTGTATGAATTCTATATAGGTCTGTTTGAGGTGAGTATTGCATTAGAATCCAAATATTATCTGAATGATGTTTTTCATTATTATTTTTTCTTCTGCATTTTACAAATAAACTTGGTATCTTGATAAGGCAACCATTGTTTTAAAAAATAAGATCATTATCGCCATCCGATAAAATTAATCAGATATGACCTCAGTAAAATATCTTTTAACTAGGTAATAACAGTTTATATTAATAGTTCGACCTAGATCTAACAGAGAAGTATCAGAGTCATGACCTTTATTGTGTTGCTTATAATTGTCTACGGGTCATTACCCTTACTTGATGAGACACCCTTATGAATACAATTAGTCTAATTTTCATCATGTTCAGGGAAGGGTCACACACTTTCTTTAATGTGATACCTTAATGTCTATAAATGTCTTACTTTATGATTCCTATACATGTAAAAGCAACAGAACTTAATATGATGTGCCACCCTAATCTCTACTCACTCTTTTGTTATTCTTTCTTTTATTCAAAGACTATGTTTTAAATCACATATTTAATGACACCTGTCTGATTGATTGAGTATTAAATTGGTATCATATATAATCCATATTTATTCAGTTCTAGATTAGTGCTGCTTTGAACTGAAAAAAGAATAGATTACACGATCAGCACGTACTGGTCCCTGCTGAAAAAGCAGGTAACAACATTGTCTTTGTTTGTAAGGTTCATTATATAAATTGTATTTTAGAGGAACTGGAATTTAATTCTACAAGAGGTAATCCAACTTATACCCATAGCTCCCTTTCGCAGGAGGAAATTCTTCAAAATCATGTTAGTTTTGAATATTTTTAATATTCCCAACAACCAAACTGAATAACCATATCTATATTGGATTCCCAAACTTCATAAAAATCCTTACAATAAAGATACATAGCGGGTTCCAGTAAATGTTCTACCAAGCCTCTTTCTTTACTCCTCACTTAGATACTAACAGTAGTGAAGGAGAAACTTCAAAAGTACTGTGCAACAATATATTCGATAAGTGGTGTAAATCAGATTTGGATTTTAAAAAATTCCAAGGAACTTTTTAAACATTTTATATCACAAAATTTTACCAAAATCAACAACATAAAAACTTACGACTTCTCAACTTTATATACAACTATTCCCCACGATAAATTAAAGTCCTGACTTTCTGACATCGTTGACAGCTGCTTTTTCAATGAAAATGGAACTCGTAAATTTACTTACCTTGTCATTGGTCATTTGAAAAATTGCTTAGTTAAAAAACGATCTGATTGTACACATAAGTACTCTGAAGTTGACATTAAAAAAGATGCTCGAGTTTCTGGTTGACAATATCTATGTGGTTTTTGAAGACCAGGTCTTCCAACAATCTATTGGAGTTCCCATGGGTAACCGTTATTAGCAGACCTATTCTTGTATTCATATGAAGCAGAATTTGTTCAAATTCTTGAACGTGAAAAGAAGAAAACACTTGCTGTGACCTTCAACTCCACATTTTGATATATCGACGACGTACTGTCAATTAACAATGGTTATTTCCATTCTTATGTCGATACGATATATATTCCGGTGAGCTTGAGATGGAAGATACATATCTGTTTCATATTTAGATATTTTATTAGAAATAGACGTTCATGTTAATCTAACAACAAAGCCTTATGATAAACGTGATGACTTTAACTTTTCAATCGTCAACTTCCCTTACCAGCAATATACCCTTATCACCTGCATACAAGGTTTATATCTCTCAGTTGATTCGATACGCAGATCATGCTCTACGTATGAATAATTTCTAAAACGAGGTAAAATATTGACAAACAAGTTGATGAAACAAGAATATCAGCAGTCTCGTTTAAAGTCATCATTTCGTAAGTTCTATGGTCGATACAATGACCTTGTCAGCAAATACAATCTATCATTAAGTCAAATGCTGACTGACGTTTTTCATACTAATTGTTAGGCCATTATTTACACACTGAATTGTCGACGGATTTTTTCGTTATTTCCCGATCATGACAAGGAGCACAAGGTGGGTGCGCCTCAAAGTAACATTTTTTGACAAAATATGATTTCAAGAAACAGATGTATTACATTGAAAATTAAATAACTATTGCATAATAATCAGCAATGTGCCATAATTTTTTACGAAACGTTGATCTCTGAATCATGATTAACGGTAAAAGAGAAGTGTACTAAAATAATTCTTCTAGTTCCAATGATAAATTCAGTATCATTTGATAAACTTTTTACATTGTGCACATTTACTTTCACCGCTGGAAAAACTTCTTAATATTTGAGGATGTGCACACCTACAAATTTCATGTGCAGGTCGATACTTTTGCATTCGGAATCCCAAAGTTAATTGTCTCTGCGGAGTGGTTGAAGCACTTTGTTGTGTCGTATAAAATTTGACAGAGCTGTGTGTCAAAGTTCCGAACAAATGTTGAATGGTTTCCTTAGTGACATTGATTGGAACAAAGTTAGGACCTGTCCAAAGTATTGGATCTGGAAAAACCATATCAGGAAAGCAGAAATTTTCCATCTGAGAAATATCTGTAGACTCATGAATCTTCAGCTTACGTTTTGCTTTTGTTAAAAGGGTTTCAAATTTTTCTTGTTGTCTCTGGAACTCTCTCAAGTCGCTTTCTTTCATTGTTAAAAGTTCATCTTCGTATTCTTGTACTAGATTGTCCACTGCCGAGTGCCATTGTTTACCCTGAAGAATGACTTCATTGACTCTAAGCTCGTACGTTGCCTGAATTTCATCTATTTTATTCTGTATTTCCTTCCAAAGTCGTACAATTTCTGGCATTTTCTGTGATTTAATCATCTCAGCCTCTTTTTGAAGACGATCAATTTTTGATCTGAGAGCATCGCTGATGTTTTCCATATTATGTTTGGTACGTTCTTTGTCCTTACATTCTTGGCAAGGACAATCTACTTGCAATTCACTTTGGGCTGTGGCAGTCTCTCTGTTTTTAAAAGCAATGATTTCATGTCGATTTAATTGATCAGATAAAATATGATCAGAAGAACAATTTGTACATAGTTTGGCTGGACAGAAAGTGCAATACAATTTCACTGGACCTCGTCTACAAGATTCACACCTGAAAACATCTTGTGCCCATGTCTTATCGGAGCTACTTTCAGCCATTTTCCTTTCGTATCACTGTTTATGACAAATCTGAAAAAACGAGATAACTCCATTAAGATTTGTTCAAATACATGTATATAATTTGAAATTTGCTTTATCCAACGAGATAAATTGGCGAGGCTTCCGAGCAAATACTAGTATATACATCATTCTGATGTATGAATGAATCTCTGTAATTCAGTTAACTGAAAGGTGACTAAATGTTTACTAAAAGTTGAATGAATGGCAGAGTTCCAACACCCCTCCAAACATTTTAGTGACCATCCAATTTGCTGAATGGCGAAGTTTCAACATTTGTTTTCAACAAATATCAAATCACAAAATTATAGATGTTCTATATATCTCATACAATTTTTCCCTTTTTTGGTAAAATCTTAAGATAATCCCTGTGAAACAATGAATGATTTCAACCCAGATTGATGAGGTTGCTGATGCATTCCGAGGTTTCGACATTAAGAAATAACCCTCTCCTTTCCCTACTGTAAAAAATGTAATTATTTTAAACAAAATACTATAGAATTCAGTTTTTGACATGTTTTAACTATTAAAATTGACCCTGTTGAAAAATCACTCCAACCCAACAGAGTGATATACGGTCTAAAAGAGCTGATTGATGCCAAGGTTTTCGTTTCTTGCATTTTTCTGACGAACTAGACGAATACGCAGTTAAATCCAATAATACGATATAATAATTGTGGAATCGATTTTTTGTGCTTTAATATCAGTGTTGTAGAGCGAAACTTCTCCCTTATACTATTAAGTATTCAAGTGGGAAGCCTCACTTTAAAGCCTTACTTCCCCCGCTAGAATTGCTCTAGTGTGAAACTTTACCCTTGGTAAGCATATGTTTTAAGTATATGGTTTCTCATACAAAAGTAGTGCTCCAAGTGACTTAAAATTTATTTCATATCATATTGTAGACATATAAGTACGGTGTACTTATCTAAGCAAGAGCTGAGAGATTCTTATGATATCGTTCGGAAATGAAAGTATTACACGTAGACAGAAACACAGCTAGTCGGACGGATGGACGGACAATCGGACGGAGAGACCCAAATTAATATCGTTCACTTTCTGTGAAAGCAGAGGAATTAATGCACGACTGTAAAGGTTTGCTATACAAATAATCTCTATAGAATGTTTGTAGTACTAGTAAAAGTTTGATTGAACAAAGACCTGCATTGAGGGAATTCTAACACTACAACTAGTGGTAGAATAGCCTTACCGCAGGAAAGTGTGGCTTCAGAGTGATCCTTCCCCGACGATTCTGCTCTCGAGTCATTCATCCTCCAAGGGGAAGTCTCACTCTAGAGCATTACTTCCGGAGGGAAATCTGTGTGGGAGGTCTCACTCTGCAACACCAGATAATCGGGAGAGAAGTGAATTATGATTTGAAAAGTTATGAACATTGTGCCTAACTGATGTTTTCAAACTGGAACTTATTTTTTTCTCTATTAGATTTAATTGATCAATAATCGACAAAATGACTCTTTAAAAATCCGAATTTTGTATCCAAAATATTTTAATTTTACATTCTCTTCCGCTGTTAGATAAGTTTCATTTTTACTTATTCGGAGCCGAGGCACAACAGAGTTAGAATGCCGCTCACAAATTTATATTAAAAAAAGGAACAATAATACAGTTAAACTCGGTTGAATCTAAGGCCTGGGACCTTTGAATATACACATTTATTAATAGACATTTACGAAGGCGGATATAGCGTAACAAAGTCAGACTTAATTCTGTTCAGCCGTCACGGAAGCTCAGTCGGTAGAGCGCTTGATCCGTGATCGGAAGACCCTGAGTTCGAATCTCGGCCGCGACTGACCTAAGTCGATAAAAATAGGTAGCAACTGTTCCTTCGCCAGGCGTTCGGCATTTTGAAGTGAAAGTTCCCGGTCCTTCGGAAGAGACCTTAAAAACCGAGGCCCCGTGTCACGGCAGGCGTTGGCACGAACAAGATCCCTCTCTGCTCAATGGCCTTAAGTGCCGAGTAAAGGTCAAATTTGAAGCCCTTCATCGGTACATGGTGAAGTCTCTATATGAGTGAAAAATTCTTGAACGGGGCGCAAAACAACATACCATCAATCAATCAATAATACTGTTCAAATACATATGTATGAATTATCAACTGTCAAGAAATAAGACCAAACATTTCTGAAAAAGGTTATCAGTTTATCAGGATCCAAAAAAATACAAAACTTTTTTTCAGTTTCACTTTTTGATATCATTAATGGATTATGATAAATGTATGTGCATTTTCGCAAGGTATAATATGTCATTCGGAAACCAATCATATTTCTATGTAAATACACATATAGCTGAGCCTCACGGCCTCAGATAAACATGTTGGGTCATGTCAAGAGTTCGACAAACCGCATGTTACCCTCGATCAAAAAATGTACATGTATGTATGACAAACTTCTGAAAATTTTAATCTTGGCCAAAACTTTTGAAAAAGTTTCTGCTATGGTTATTTTTTATTTTTATTTTTCACAAGTATATATTTTTTCTGACCCTTGATTACCAATAATTTGACCCTTTGACCTTAAGCTTGAGGTTTGGCCTACTTTTGAAAAAAAATAACGTTGCCATAACTTTTTGTCCAGGGCTTTTATATTTCACAGATTTTTTTTTTTTTTGTGACAAGGTCATCCCTTGGGTAATATTAATTTATTATCTATAGACCTTGCTATTGGAGTGTGACCTACTTTTGCAAAAACTTTAACCTTTGCAAACACTTTTGAACAGTTGGTGCTAGAGCTTTCATATTTCACTTGTATTTCTTGTGACAAGACCTTCTTGAGCAACATTAATTTTGACCCTTTGATCTTGACCTTGGAGTTTGACCTACTTTTGAAAAACATTACCCTTAGCAATAACTTTTGAAAGGTTGGTGCTAGAGCTTTCTTAATTCAAGATGCTTTCTCCGTGAAAAGACCTTTCTTTGAGTACCATTATATTTTTATTTCTTGACCATGAGCTTGGAAATTGACTTGCATTTGAGAATCTTTTATCTTCAGCCTGAGCTGTAGTATGGGGGCATCATTGTTTCACAAACACATCTTGTTTGTTCATCATTGTACATGGTAATTATTCGTCTTCACGCCAATCATGAATTAAAAATTCTTTCCGTGTATTTTGTATACTTCGACGTACTTTTTGTTATTTTTTAAACTCAATTGTAATGCCTTTTTTTGAATACCCCTGTCTGTTTACAGTTTGAATAAGATTTACAGAGAGATTGATTTTATCATTCAAAGTCCAATCGATAATTAAACTGCACAGAAAAGGTTACCTCACGTATATATATCAACGCACAATGCATGCCTTTAAACAGAAAAGCAATGAAGAACATGCGTGAATTATATTACATACATTTATAATGTTAATATACATTTTTAATACCTTTTCACCTTACAAATTTCTATCGTCTTCATTTTTACTCTCTTCAATTGTTTCTTCCTGTTTGCTGTGCTTTTAATTGATATGATAGGACATATATTTTAAAATCTTTCTGAGCAAAAGTAAGTAGATTTATTTACAGTTACGATTAGTCTCAACACATATCATTCGATGTACAGTAATTAAGATTTCACAATTATTCATAATTAAAATTTAGACAAGTTGAGCAATCCATACCTTGGTTTTATCAGTGTTGTTCCCAATTAAAAAAAAACCTGTAGGATTGTTCTGTTTTGTATTCGGTTGTTTTATTTTTAATTATGCACCTAGTGCTTCTTAACAAGCATCTAAAACAAAAACATGAATAGACATTTTTCAGACCGTTTAAATTATCTATTGTCATTTAAATCAGCTTCTATTTAAAAACATGGGTGCTTAACAAATTATAAGGTCTGAAACATGGGAAAGAAAATATTCTTCAGCAACGTCTTTCAATTTAATTAGTGTGATTCCGGAACCAAAAAAAATCCTTTGATTTGCAGGTTCAATTCATAATTTGTCAAAATAAATGCTATGATATCTACATATTTTGAAACAAATAAGGATGTAGTTTTGCAAAGAGTTATTATCAAAAGTATCCATTAGAAAAGTTCTGATTTAGATTTTTATACATTTTATATTTACTCATGAATGCATGTTTTCCTTTGTTTTTGAAGATGTCCAATGTTCAGCCCAATCCAGTAGGTTTGTTTTTGGGTCGTAAGTATTTTTTTAGGGGAGGGGGTTTAAAGGTTTCTCAACATCTTCACTCTTCTTTATAATTCATCTCCCATAACTATCAAGCACAACTTGATAACTGTAATGAAATAAAATTAGCATGGTGGATTGAAATAGAATTTGACTCCTATATTTGATAAATATGAAACCGCTTTAATTTCAAGTCAAGTAATTGTTTTGGTAGGAACAGACTGGATTATTCAAGTTACAAGAAATGTAACATAGATAAATATATTATTTTTTATTTAAATGCATTAAATTATGCTAGATTACTACAATATTAGCTGTATAAAGGAATGCCATTAGTGCATCCTGGCTATACCTCAAACTTAAAACACAATTTCTCCATATATATACTATCTGTTTTTTTGTAATATCATGCAATAAAATCATCGGCTTCATTACAAGTGTTCAAATATCATTTTCGTTTTCTGCATTGTAAATACACTTATTTTTATTGTCATTTCTAATATTCTTGGGTTTTAGATTAATGATAATAAGACAAGTTTGGTCAAGTTATTTACAGGAAAAATATCACTTTATTAACAGATTTATGTTTTAACTCCTGGGCAGGAGAATAGTTACTATTATCTCCTGGGCTCACGAGGTCATCAGGTGTGACCTTTTGTTAACCCCACCCAAAAATTCTGTAACAGCTGTCAAGTCAGTTTATGTGTGAATTGCATCAATAAACATGCGGACAATTTCAACTCGGTTACTCGTGAAATTTTTCCTATCAAGAACAGAAACAAACAGCCGGTGTTTCCTGAAAGTGAATATACTCAAGATCTTCATAGAAATAAAGAAAGGAAATAGAAAAAGAAATCCATGAATTTGAATCCTTCATTATTCCTATGCGCAGTACAGTTAAGGTGCCAAATGGAAATATCGGCGAATTTTTTAGACAGAAAATACATTCTTTACAAGGATGGGCGATTCTTTTTAGGCCTTTACTATTATCGGACAAATGTAATGTGGCTGAAAACAACATGTTGAGGACGTTTAGATATCTATATTTCTTATTTATATTTGTCACGTAATGTGGCAGTCACGTGATTTTAGCAAATATAACTGCAGTATTGAGGTCATCTATAAATTCCAATATTGCAAGGGCATAACCAAGTTAAAAATCTAAGTTTAATTTATAATTATTTTCAACACTCTTTGTAGTTTGTGAAAAGTGCTGCGAACCTATATAGATTCTACTATATAATTGCTAAAATTACATTTGTTAGACCGTATGTTAAATATTTTGCTGGTCAAGTACATTAAATGTAGATATAATTAATTCATTTGCAAGATTTCATCAGGTTCGCAGCACTTTTCAAATATCTTCATACCTCTTGAGTTTATGTGTAAAAGCTTGTCGTAATTCATTGAGGGTATGCCCTTGCAATATATCGATTTATTACGACCCTTCTATAACCCTTCAATGAATCTGCATACAAATGTACGGCAGTTTCACTTGTCTAGGGAATTTACGGGAAGTATATGAATAAAATCATAAAATAGACATCGCATCCAAGTTAATGGCCTCTTATATATCTGCAAATAATATTTTATTTAATTATAAAACACATTTTTCATTGTATAAAATATAACTTGATCCGCCTCTCACTGCATACAAACTGCGTCAAAATTTACGATATGACGTCACATTGACAAGTGCATTGCGATCAGTAAATTGTTTATATATTGCTGTGTGGGATTTAACATTGAACATTTAACATTTAACAAAACACATTTTTCATTGTATAAAATATAACTTGATCCGCCTCTCACTGCATACAAACTGCGTCAAAATTTACGATATGACGTCACATTGACAAGTGCATTGCGATCAGTAAATTGTTTATATATTGCTGTGTGGGATTTAACCAACGACAAAAATACATGCAATAGTAAGTATTGATGTAGTTTAAAGCTATCCAACAGTTTAAAATAGCGTATCATTTCATTTTGTGGTAATTTGAAGAACATGTACTTTTGTGTGATGTCATAGTAAGCATTTCCCGTAAAAACTAGGCCCCGCCTCCTTATTGCAGCCTTAACTGTGCTGCGTGTCTTGGAAGATAAAACTTTCCAAAACAAGAGCCATATCTGAGGATATGAAATGACTGATAGAGAAGCAGATGCAGACATAGATCAGACAATTTAATTCCCTCTTTGAAAAATGACGCAACCTTAGGGAAAGAACTTATTATAAATCTAGGAGAATGTAAGATACATAGACACAGATGTCACTCTCACGCCCGATAAAATAGTTATTAGATAGGATTACTGCCACTATTCGTATTGTATTTCAACCTCTTTGGAGAGTTGCTTGTGTGGCAGCAGATAAACTTGTGTTAGCAAAGAAGACAATACCTTCAGGAGTTTGCACAAGATACTGTTACCACCAAATGTCGATGTTGGCCAGATGATATCAGACTGGCCGGACATGGAGAACTAATATTTAGTGATGGCTACGATGGAACTGTGCATATCGTCAGACACGGGAGGGCAGAAATACTGATCACTAAACAAAAGGACTAGAAAACAGAAGGGTTGTGTTGTATAGGATCAGGATATATATTGGTTAATCTGTATAATAAAGGCCGAAACAAAATCGTCCGCTATCAGGGAAACAGTGAGGCAGGAAATACAGTATATAAGATATCAATATACCAAAAACCTTTTAAAATGGTAAATACATGCTCTATTTGGCCGAGAACAGCAACAAAGACATTGTGCCTCAAGTTGCTTTGGATATGACAGGAAGAGTCCCTTTCCGATGCGACGGTACACCAGGCAGAGGGAAGAAGACGTTTAATCCTAGACATATAGTGACTCCACGACTCGTATCATTGATACTGCAATGACTGTCTACATATACATGATTAAGATAGACATTTCCTGAGATGTGTGAATAATCTGGGAGATGCCCTAGGCCTGTGGACTGAGCTAGTATGGACAGTGAGAGCAGGCTGTGGATAGGGGGATTGGATTCAGGAGAAATCATACAGTACATAAATGAATTGAAAATGGTTTGTGGACTGGAGCTTGAAATAAATATATATAAATAATAATAAACCAAAAGCAGTTTAATTGACACACACTACTAATACAAGAAAAAAAACGGTGTATGTGCATGGGATTTTTTAAGAAATCAATCAATCATGCATTCTGAGCATACCAAGTGTATATTATAAGTAAGAGGAATCATATATGAACATATCTTCATGGTTTACATTGTTTATTGAAAGTTTTTATTTACATTTTTCAGTTCAACCAATCGCAAAATCGTGATTTAAGCTACTAATGAGACCAGGTCTTCCAACACAATCTTATGGAATTCCAATAGGCACTAATTATACTCCTTTATTAGCCAACCTGTTTTTTTTTTTATATATATATTCCTATGGAACAGAATTTATTCAAAAACTTCTTCATGAGAAAGAGAAAACTCTTGGTGTGGCCTCAACTCAACATTTAGATATATCGACGACGTTTTATCATTCACATGTCGATCGATATGTTCCAGTGAACTCAAAATAAAAGACACTATAGATAATGGCCGACTAATAACTAAACTGTATGACAAAGGGGAAAATTTCAGCTTTTTCATCCTCAACTTTCCTTAATTGTGTAGTAATACTTCAACAATACCTTCATATGGTGTTTATGTCTCCTAGCTGATTCGATACGCAAGAGCATGCTCTACGTACGAACAATTTTTAAACCGAGATACATCATTAAGGCGAAGAATTTGTTGAATATTACCCGATTATAACTCTTACAAGTTAAAAGATCTGTTTTAAAGGTGGTTTATAATTCAATTCTTCATTCGGTGTCATTTAAATCAGAATGTCATTTTTTTTAATTAACTGAAGTTAACGAGGGACACCTATATATAGAAGAATCTGAGGGAAATAGATGAGCGAAACGCCCATGCCCGTTTTGCAGCTATACAAATATCTCAATTGAACGACATTTAAATGTGTATACGACATTTAAATGTGTACAGTACTTGTCAAAGTGATATCTAGATTCTAAACAAGCTTTCACTTGACCTTCATTTTTTGCCACAGAATGTCTAACACGGCTAGTGACTTCAAATTTATTATATTCTGTAATTTGTATTTTAAGTGCAGATACTATTGAATTGTATACATGTACATTGTATATAGTGATAGTGGTGATCTTTCGGTTTCGAAAGCGCTTGTAGTAATTAAAAATAAACAAGTAAGGGATTATATACTTATTCCAATATTTATTATAACTTCTGTCTGGCATTTCAAATAATTTACTGTAAATGGGTTCATTATTACATACATATAGTTTATTTTCAGTGAAAAATGTTTTATTCCTGCATCAACATTTCAACTTAATTTTAAAATAAAACAACCCCTAAATATCCGTTTAAATAGCTCCTTGCTGACCACTACATCACGCTTTCACAATACCAAATAGTTTTCCGTATTTAGCAAGCGTATTTAGACTTAGAATTTTTAAGACCACGCTAAACTTTTTTTTTATGTAGAGTGGGTCTTTGGACCAAATTTTTGCAAGTGTAAAAAGAAACATCTTTCCATTGCCTTTCATTATTCGTTCTCAAAAACATGAAGGAATGAACCCCTCTATTCAAAAACTTTAGTTAAATCATCCAAGTTATGACAGTTTTGTGATTATTGAGAGTGTTGACATTTTGTTGTTTTTATTTTAATTAATGTCAATTAAGGCATTGTCAATTTTGTATGCAAAAGGCAATTAACATTACTTAAATTTAACAAAACTTTAACAAAAAGTGGAATTTCTGAAAAAAGAATTTATTGATTTTCTTTATTTGTCATTATGAAGGCATATGGCTCGGCATATTCCCCTAGTTTTTTATGTCTTAATTTATTACATTTTGCATACCAGGAACTTCTGGCTGCCAAGAGACCATGAAGAATATACCCCAAGTTATTATTAAAGGTAGTGACAGGTTTATCTATCAGTGCTCCTTACTAGTACTCATATATATCAAAGAAAAATACAGTTTAATAAGAAAGATCGATAAGATGCAGTTCATCTTCTTAAGTTATAAATGAATGTCTGCTGATCTAGAGATGCATTTATAATGTTTTTAAAAGTTTTAATTTATGACACGTACTCACCACTCTAAGTGACACCTGATTTTTTAACAACCAGGAATAATAAAACTAAACCCAAATAGTTCTTTGACAAGTGCTTACTTGGGTAGGACCAGCCTTGAATTAGGTGATATAAGAAAACTTTCATAAAATTATTTGAAATATTATACTTTATTCACAGATTTATACTTTAACACTTAAGCAACAGAATGGCTACTCCAATCTCCTGGGCTCATGAAGTCATCAAATGTAATCTCTGTGATAAGGCTACCCAGCAATTCTGTAACAACTGTCAAGTAAGTTTATGCGTGAACTGCATCAATAAACATGTGGACAATTTCAACTCGCTTACTCATGAAATCGTTCCTTTCAAGAACAGAAAGAACCAGATAGTGTTTCCTGAGTGTGACTTTCAATCCGAACAGAGATGCGAAGCCCATTGCCAAAAGTGTGATGTGTCTGAGTGTATGGAGGGTGTCATCGATTCCCATAATGGACCCAAGTTGAAATACATTCCCAAGATCTTCCTAGAAAAACGAAAGGAAATAGAGAAGGAAATCCATGAATTTGAATCCTACATTTTTCCTATGATCAAGAAGATAAAACTTTTCAAACCAACAGCCATATTTGAGGAAATGGAGCAACAGATAAAGGAGCACAGAAAATCCTGGCATGTTGAAGTAGACACCATCTTTGACAGACTTGGCACTTTGATCAAGTCCATGAAAGAAAATCATATGTCTGTCTTAAAATTACACCAGTCCAAGCTTATTAATCTGCCTCCAGATCTGATGCAAACAATCCAGCGAAACAAAGAAATCTTAAAGTCCAACAAAGTGTCTGATATAACTAACTACAAATCCAAACTCACCGAATACAGAAACATTCATACAGACATAGATCAGGCAATTCCCTCTTTGAAAACTAACACAACCCAAGGGAGAGAACTTATTATAAAACTAGGAGAATACAAGGTTACATTGACACAGACGAAACTCTCACATCTGATAGAAGTATGCTTAGACAAATCCAGAGTTATTGCTACCATTCCTGCTGGATTTCAACCTTTATGGAGAGTTGCTTGTTTGGCAGAAGATAAAGGTTGGGTTAGCGGAGAAGACACAATCAGAAGATGTGTCGACATATACGGGTCTATTTATGATACAGTTACAATGTACTACCAAATGTCGATGTTGGTCAGATGATAGCAGAGGGACCGGACATGGAGAACTAATATATAGTGATGGTTACAATAGAACTGTGAATATCGTCAGACACGAAAGGACAGAAATAATGATCACCACACAAAAGGGCTGGCAAACAGAAGGGTTGTGTGGTACAAGATCAGGAGATGTATTGGTCAATCTGTATAATAAAGGTCGAAATAAAATCGTCCGCTATCAAGGGCAAACAGTGAAGCTAGAAATGCATAAAGATAACAATAAAAAAGAAATCTTTAAAAATGGAAAATACATGCTGTATTTAGCCGAAAACAACAATGAAGACATTTGTGCCTCTGATCGTAATGCTGGCCTAGTGGTTGTTTTGAAAATGACGGGAAGAGTTCGATTCCGATACGACGGTACACCAGGCAGGGGAAAGAAGGCATTTGATCCTAGATATATAGTGATAGACTCCATGAGTCATATCATTGTGTCAGATTACAGCAATGACTGTCTACATATACTTGATCAAGACGGACATTTCCTGAGATGTGTGGATAATCTGGGACTAGAGAACCCCTGTGGACTGAGTATGGACAGTAAGGGGAGGCTGTGGGTAGGGGAAATAGATTCAGGAGATATTAAAGTCATACAGTACATGAAATAAATGTAAAATGTTTTGTGGCCGCACCCTACAAATAATAATAAAACAAAAGCAGTGTTATTTGTTATACACCACTAATACAAGAAAAAAACAGCGGCGTAATCATTGACGGTGCATTGGCATTTTTGAAAGAAATCAATTAATCATGCATGCTGAGCATACCAAATGTATATCATGTGTTCTAGGGATTATACATGAACATACTTTCATGGTTTAAATTGATTATTGAAAGTTTTTATTTAGCTATTTCAGTTCAACTGGTCGCAAAAATGTGATTTAGTCTACTATTGTACGTGCATGATAACTTGACTCTTTGAATGTTTGTATGTGTCCAATTGAACTCGAAATAAGACACCTCATAGTTTAATACATCTCTTTTATATATGGATATTTCGCTCGAAAAAGACATTGACGACAAAATTAGGACAAAACTTTATGATAAACGTTATTAGTTTACCTTTCCTTGTCAAAGTCCCTTTTTGTGTAACAATATACCATCTCACCTGCATATGGGGTTTACGTCTGTTCTATGTACTAACAATTCATAAACTGAGGTAGGCTACTGACTTTTGAGTTGAAGATACAAAGATATGAACATATGGTCGTTACAATGACAATTGTGTATTCTGTATTGTGTAAAGTAAGGTCGTGACGTCTTTTAAATAAGTTGTTAGGCTATTATTTTCACAGTGAATTGTCTAAGGAATTTTCTTTTAATACGATCAAGACGAAGAACACGCGGCTGGTGTGACCGGTCGACGGGGGATGCTCACTCTTTCATGAAATCTGCAGCTGATCCAACCTCTGTCTTTATAGGTCTGTCAACTCTGCTAACAATCTGTATTGTTTGATTGGGCCTTTGAGTATGTTTACTATTCGCTATCTTCAAATTTAATTACATTACTTTAACTGGTTAAAATTATTCTGCTCCACCATTAACGTAATTTTATTTAGATTATGATGATAAATATACGTTTATATCCTCAATGGAGATACAGAGACGCAATCTTTTCACAATGTGCAACGGTCACTCAGCAAGCACTTATTGTTATTACGTCCTAATTTTCAGAGATATATTTTGCTTCAGAAACATTGTGTTATACGATTTTTTCGAAATATCATTGGTATGGCTTTTTCAAAACTCGAAACTTTTCAAACATCAATAGCATAAAAATGTATATGACTTTTTTTACGCTTTATATTTCTCATGATAAATTAAAGAGCATACTTTTTTCATAGACAACTACTTCCTCAATAAAAAAAAATGCAACTCATAAATGTTCATTTCTTGTGAGTAGTCATCGACAAAATTACTTATCATTCTTGTTCAACATAAATGTACTCTGAAGTTGATATTAAAAAGATGCTGGAGTTCCTCATTGACAATATATATGTAGTCTTTGGAGACCAAGTCTTCCAACACAATCTGTTGAAATTCCAATGGGCACTAATCGTGCTCTTTTATTAGCTTACCTGTTTTTTTTTTATATTCCTATGAAATGAATTTATTCAGAACCTTCTTCATGAGAAGAAGAAAACTCTTGTTATGACCTTCAACTCAACATTTACATATACCTACGGCGTTTTATCAATTTACATAAGTTACTTTATTCATATGTCGATCGACATATTCCAGTGAACTCAAAATAAAAGACACATCATATCCGGATGTTTTACTGACTATAGATAATGACCTATTAATAACTAAACTGTATGAAAAGGGGATAAATTGAGTTTTTCAATCATCAACTTTCCCTATTTATATCGTAATATTTCAACATCACCAACATATGGTGTTTATGTCTCCCAGCTGATTCGATACGCAAGATCATACTAGGAGTACAATCAATTTTTAAACCGGGGCGAGCTACTGACAAATAAGTCGATGTTACAAGGATTTCAACAAACCATTTAATGTAAGCTTGTTGCACATTCTACGGTAGTTATTTTGATTTTGTTTATAAATACAACCCATTGTTGTGTTGCAATTTGTTTGACATGTTATATACGGGGGCTGTTCGGAAATTATTGAGATATTGTGTATATTCTTCTTTCTAATGAACGTTTTTCGGTGAAAATTTGCATATACGTTTGACAAACTCTAAGAAGTAATAAAAACAAGAAATATTTTAAAAATATTTTATTTCATCTTTTCAATGGTATATTAATGTGTCAATGGTAGGGGTACCCGGCGCAGTCACGAAATCGGATATTGAAAATATGTAACACCAACGTAAAAACTCCCAATGGACTCATAGTAAGACCGAAAATAATTCAATTTATGTATATAATTTTTCAATTTAACTTTGACTTCATTTTGTGCAAGTTTGTTAGAATTTCGATCAGAAATACGGAGATCATTAAAAAATTTACGCGCGGTATAGCAATCTGATAACGACGACAAAACGGATTTTGACGTCAAGGCGGAGCAGCGATCATACCTAAAATTTTGTGTAGCGGTATTGAGAACTCTTGTCCAGACTAAACGACCTGCTAAAACAATACCAATGCAATAAAACATGTCTACGGGTTTATTTTCTCATTCGTATATATTATTTTCTTACAAATAATTCAACCAGAGTAAAAACAAAAGCTCCGGATGACCATCAATTATTACGGACTAAATAACGTTGACCCGCGTTGCATAACTCGAAACTGCATAATGCTAAGTCAACCTGTATTTGACATTTTGTGTATATTTTACACTGGGGTAGCAACAGCACACGTTTTATTTTTTTAATTTTTTTTAAAAAATCGATTAAGAATTATAAGAAACAGTTTGATTTTTGAAATGTTATATGTAATGACAGAGAAAGTAGATTGAACGCTTCCTGATCATTTCAGAATGAGAATATATCAGCTGACCTGACGTTAAAATGACGTAGCGATGCTGCTCCAGGTCAATAGACATATGCTTGTTTATGATTTCACCGGAACTTATTTAATTATCCAATAAATTAGAAATTTTGTACATTTGTTTTATTTGTTCTTTAAAAAACGTTGACTAATTTTTATGAATTTATCTCAGTCCTTTGTGGAGTAAAAGTATTTGTCTCAATAATTTTCGAACAGCCCTCGTACAATTTGTAGGGTCTCTGTTTTTGTATTAAAATTGACAAAGGAGTACTCTGTCCACCTGATTATTACATAGGAGTCACGGCATTACATAGGAGTCAAGGCATTACATAGGAGTCACGGCATTACATAGGAGTCACAGCATAAAATAGGAGTCACAGCATTACATAGGAGTCACGGCATAAAATAGGAGTCACGGCATTACATAGGAGTCACAGCATTACATAGGAGTCACGGCATTACATAGGAGTCACGGCATTACATAGGAGTCACAGCATTACATAGGAGTCACGGCATTAAATAGGAGACACAGCATTACATAGGAGTCACGGCATTACATAGGAGTCACAGCATTACATAGGAGTCACGGCATTACATAGGAGTCACGGCATTACATAGGAGACACAGCATTACATAGGAGTCACGGCATTACATAGGAGTCACGGCATTACATAGGAGTCACGGCATTACATAGGAGTCACGGCATTACATAGGAGTCACGGCAGATGTCACCGGTCAAAAAGGATGCTTACTCCTTCTGGTCATCTTGCCCCTGGATTGATCAGGAAATAGACTTACACGTTAAGTCACAATTTCAATCACCTGAAAGATGTTTAATACTGTGAATTAAAAGTACACATCTGCACACATCAGCACTTTGAAAATACAATATTGAATAGCATTTTTATTTCGGATTGTTTGACTTTTAAATCATTTCAGCGCTATGTACAGATTTTGATTTAAGCTTAAGATGTTTCGTGACGCTGGGGCTAATCTCACCACTGATGTTTCCAGGGGTCCGTGTTTTGCCCTGTTCACCATTCGTTTCGTCTACTGTATTCTATACATCAATGCTTGTAAAGTCAATTTCCTTTTGAAAAAATGTTCAATTTCTTGCAATTAAAGTGGCATTAAATCAATCAGTTAAAAATGTTCAGATGTATATGTTTAAGGAATTACATATACATATAACCCATCCTTTTGCGTAGATGATGTTTAGTGACTTCTTACATAATTGTGATTTTGTTAAGTGAGACTGCAGTTTTAAAAAAAAGTTTGAGATCTCATGAACCCAAAATAATATGATTACCTCATTAAAAGTTTCTCAACATAATATTTTAAGCTAAAAATCTCAACGATATTTATAAACTCTAAAAAAAAAAAATGTGTTTGACACATTCCATTTTGCAAGGTTGAAATTATAGGCAAAATAAGGGATTTTGTGATTAGAACAAATTTAGATCTAAAATGTGTCAGGCAGTTTTCGTGTTTTCCTGTCCAGTTCTTGAGATGATGTTTTAGACACTCGCTTTATTTTTGCCTTTTTCCTTATATCCCCTTTTAACAAGACCTGGCCATTAATTTGAACAATCTTGAATCCCCTTCAGCCAAAGATGCTTTGTAAGAAATTCTGTTGCAGTTGGTTCAAAGTTGAGAATGTGAAAATTTAACAGATGGGAGGACAAGTGACGGACGATTGATGATCAAAAGAGCTCATTTGAACTTTTCAAGTGACTTTTTCATTTAAAATTACGCATTTGAAAAATGTAACCCTAGTGTTGTTCACATGGAAAATTTAATAATATTTAATTTTACCCAAAGAGAACTTTAAAATCAAAATTTTGTCGTCGACTAGAACAAAAGAAGCAAGTGCAAAGTTTATCGTTTTATATATACTCAAAGCAGACTGAAGTATTTAAAAAGCATTTGAATTAGCATCATATCAATACTGTAAATTTGTTGGACAGTATCTTTTGTGTGAAGACTTTTACAAGAAGAGAAAATTTTAGAAGACAAATTAATTAAAGAATTTAAATGGACTTTTTTTAACCTAAATATTCCTTTGATTTGATCGCAGACTGTCTTTTGTTTGTATGTATGTTGTTTAACGTCCCTCTCGAGAATTTTTCACTCATATGCAGACTCCACCACTTACCGTTGGAGAGCTGCAAATTTTGTCCTATACTCGGCACTTACGGCCACTGAGCAGTGAGGGATCTTTTTCGTGCCAGCACCTACTGCGACACGGGACCTCGGTTTATACGGTCTCATCCGAAGGACCGGTCTCCACGTCCCACAGTGGGATTCGAACCCATGACGTAAGGATCAACTCCTTACTTCGCGACTCTAGCGCAGACGCTCTAACCACTGCGCCACGCGGGCATCGCAGACAATCTAACAAACGTTTTAAGTATGTAATCTTTCAAATGAAAATGAAATACTTCTCTTCAAAATCTTTGAATTACAATATCTACTATGATTAAAATTTGGACTAAATTACCACTTTTATAAGATTACACTCTTAGATACACCAATAAGGCGAAGAATTTGTTGAAGATTATTTGTTTATAACTTTAACACATTTAAAAGATTTAAAAGATGTGTTTTAAAGGTGGGTTATAATTCAATTCTTCATTTGGTGTCATTTAAATTTCGTTTTTTAACTTAAGTACAATGTCTGCTCACGAGGGATGCCTATATAAAATTTATATCTTAATTCATTACATTTTGCATACCGGAAACGCTGATAAGAGACTATGAAGAATATAGACCAAGTTATTAAAAGTAGTAACTGACAGATTAATCTATAAGTGCGCCTTACTAGTATAAAAGCAAAATGCAGATCAATAATCGATATGATCTAGTTCATCTACTAAAGTCATAAATGCTAGTCTTCTCATCGAGAGTCTTTAAAAAATTTATTTAAAAGATTTATGACAGGTACTCACTACTCTAAGTGACATATGACTTGCTGACAACCAGGAAAAATCAAACTTAACCCAAGTAGTTTCTTGAGAAGTGATTATTGGGGTAGGACCAGGATTGAATATTCTGATACAAGCTGCCAACACAAGATGTCCGCGCTTTCGTTCTTGCATCTGGAAGTTTTAAATTATGCTTAATGAAATATATTTTCTGTTTTATAAAAAAAACTTTGGCCATAGCTAGCGCAATCACAAATTAAATAATCTTTTCTTAATATTTACTAGTATATTGACTTCATTTGTTACAAGAATTATGTATGAAAATCGTCACCTTCATGATTATTCTTTATATATCATTTTAGCTGTATACTTTCAAAAAACAATTAAAACTACCATTTCTTATATTGTCGAAAGTAAAACTGATGAAACAAGAAACCCAATCTCCTGAGCTACTCCCATCTCCTGGCCTCAGGAGGTCATCATGTGTATCTTTTGTGACAAACCCACCCAGCAATTCTGTAACAACTGTCAAGTCAGTTCATGCGTGAAAGGCATCAATCAACATGTGGGTCTACTCTCTTACTCATGAAATTGTTCCTTTCAAGAACAAAAAGAAACAGTTGGTGTTTCCTGAACGTGAATTTCGCTCCGATCAAAGAAGTGAGGCCCATTGCCAAGAGTGTGAAGTCCCTGTGTGTATGGAGTGTGTCATCGATTCCCATAATGGACACAAGTTGAAATACATACCCAACCCAAGAAAGGACATAGAAAAGGAAATCCATGAATTTGAATCCTTCATTACTCTTATGTTTAAGATAAAGCTTTCCAAACCAACAGCCATATTTGAGGAGATAGCAAACGAGATACAGGACCACATAAAATCCTGGCACGTTGAAGTAGACACCATCTTTGACAGAAGAGAATCATCTGTCTGTCTCAAATTACACCAGACCAAGCTAATTAAACTGACTCCAGATCTGATCGAAAAAATTCAGCGAAACAAAGAAATCTTAAAGTCCAACAAAGTGTCTGATATAACTAACTACAAATCCAAACTCACTGAATACAGAAACATTCATGCAGACATAGATCAGACAATACCCTCTTTAAAAATTAACTCAACCCATGGAAAAGAACTTATTATAAAACTAGGAGAATACAAGGTTACATTGACACAAACGACGCTTTCACGTCTGATAGAACTGTCATTGGACAAACCCAGAGTTATTGCCACCATTCCGACTGGATTTCAAACTTTGTGGAAAGTTCCTTGTATGGTACCGGGTAAAGCTTGGGTTAGCGGAGAAGACACAATCAGAAGATATGTCGACATACACGGATCTTTTTATGATACAGTTTCTACCAAATGTCGATGTTGGCCAGATGATATCAGAGTGCTCGAACATGGAGAACCAATATATAGTGATGATAACAATTAATGGAACTGTGAATATCGTCAGACACGGGAGGACAGAAATAATGATCAACACACAAAAGGGCTAGCAATCAGAAGGGCTGTGTGGTACAAGATCAGGAGATGTATTCGTCAGTCTGTATAATGAAGGCCGAAATAAAATCGTCCGCTATCAAGGGCAAACAGTGAGGCTAGAAATATATAAAGATAACAATAAAAAAGAAATCTTTAAAAATGGTAAATATATGCTATATTTGGCCGAAAACAACAATGAAGACATTTGTGTATCTGATCGAAATGCTGGCCTAGTGGTTGTTTTGGATATGAGGGAAAGGGTTCGATTCCGATACGACGGTTCACCAGGCGCAGAGGGAAGAAGATATTTGATCCTAGATATATACTGACAGATCCCATAACTCATCATTGTGTCAGATACAGCAATGACTGTCTACATATATTTGATCAAGACGGACATTTCCTGAGATGTGTGGATGATCTGGGACTAGAGAACCCCTGTGGACTGAGAATGGACAGTGAGGACAGGCTGTGTGTAGGGGAAATAGATTCAGGAGATATTAAAGTCATACAGTACATGAAGTGAATGTAAAATGTTTTGTGGACGCGTTCTAGAAAATAAATATAAATACACGATAATAAAACAAAAGCAATGGTATTTGTTGTACACCACTGTTGCAACCACTATTGAAATAATGTTCACTATTGAAATAATTATTTCAGTAGTGGTTGAGAGTGCATTTCAAAACCATATACAGGTTGTAACCACTATTGAAATAACGTTCATTAGTGAAATAATTATTTCAATAGTGGGTGAACGTGCATTTCAAAACCAAACACAGGTTGCAACCACTATTGAAATAACGTTCACTATTGAAGCAATGATTTCAATAGAGGTTTTGAAACAGGCTGCAACCACTATTGAAATAATGTTCACTATTGAAAAAAAAGATTTCAATAGTGATTGAAATAAAGATTTCAGTAGTGATTGAAATAATTATTTTAATAGTTGCTTGCAATGATTTCAATACCAAAACCACATTGCAAGCCTTACTGAAATAACCCCACTATTGAAAAAAATATAAGGATTAATTGTTCATTACGTTGTCCAACATAATATATAATATTTAATGAGTTTGATATATGACATGTAAAATTATGTATTTCTTTCTTTTCTATAAATTACCACTAATACACGGACATTTTTGATTTAACTGACGTACCTTAAATTCAAACAAAGCATGCAAATGTTACATGCAAGCTTCCGCTGAATCTGGCGAAAACTAATAGACAATCAATCAATATATGCATGTTTTAAGTAATTTTGGTAAATATTGTTCATCTTTGCCACTGATTTTAAATGAAAGGATCATAAATGCACATAATTGTAGAAATTAGAATATCTACATTAAAAAGAAGAAGACTGACATCTATGTGCACAAACTTTCCGATGAAAATATGGTTATTTTAATAAAAAGAATATACAATAGAGGGAAATTCTCGAATATATTCATGGGCTTGCCTACACTACAAATATGGATAGTAAATCTAACGCCTACTCCTTAAGACATTAAAAAACAAAACTTAAAGGAAATTAGTATAAGCATTACATGTATTATAATAGTGGGTGTTATTTCAATAGGGGTCACACATATAAAACCGCTATTAAAATAATGACTACTATTGAAATTATTTCATAAGTGATCGTTATTTCAATAGTGGTTGCATTAATACATGTACTGCCGAATTGAAATATCTAATATTGAAATTATTTTTTCAATAGTCACTATTTCAATAATGGTTGCAACAATGTACCCACTATTGAAAAAATGATCATTACTGAAATAATTATTTAATAGTTGATATTATTTCAACAGCGGTTTTTAGTGTAACCATTATTGAAATAACAACCTATTGATTAAAAATAACCATATTTTCATCAGAAAGTTTGTATACATAGATGTAACATATATTTCTTCTTTCTTTTTTTAAATGTAGATATTCTAATTTCTAAAACTATCTGTTTTTATAAACTTTTACATTCCGCAATTAATAGCAATGATGAACCTTATATAATAAAATTACTTAAAAATTACTAGATCACTTAAATCACAGATATAAGTATATTAATAGTATTTCTAGATAGAAATTAAAACATAAAATTACATATCATATTTCAGACTCAATAAATTAATTCATTATGTTGGGAAACATAATGAAGAATTTATCTTTATATATTTTTATATTACTCTACATAGAAAATATGAAACTTGTTATGAACAAAAAGTCCTCAACCAATTGTAAAATTCACGCATGTCACATGCATAGAGTCCAAGATTCTAACTCAAGGTTGGGTTAAACCATGAAGTAGGAAGAGAACGAACAGTAATCAAGGTAAAAAGTCAATCGAGACAATGCAGATTTGGAGCAGAGCAAACACGGGCCTCTAAAAACATCAGAGGTTGGATCAGGTGCCATGGAGGAGTAATCATCCCCTGTCACCTGGTCTCAGCCGCCGTGTGCTCCTTGTCATGATCAGGCAAACTGAAAAATCTGTAGACAATTCAGTGTGAGGATAATAGCCTAACAATTTGTATGAAAAACGTCAGTCAACAAATTCGACTTTACGATAGATTGTATTTGCTGACAAGGTCTTTGTATCGACCATAGAATTTGCGAATTGATGACTTTAAACGAGACTGTTGATATTCTTGTTTCATCAACTTATTAGTCAAGAGATTGCCTCGTATTAGAAATTGTTCTTACGCAGAGCATACTCTTGTGTATCGAATCTATTGGGAGACGTAAACTCCATGTGCAGGTGATAATGGTAGAGTGCTAAATAAATAAGGGAAGTTGACGATAGAAATATCAGTCTAAAAACTAGAGAAGCTCAAATTCCACAGAAGGTCTTGATTCCTATATTCCTGTAATCCCAAGTGAAACTTTTACTCCTAAAGTGACCTCACCCTATAACCCTACAGCTAAAATTCATCGTTTGAACGAATTTTAATTTATACGATATCAGACAGTTAAAAAATATTAAAATGACATAACCCTATTTTAAACTCTACTGGTCAGACATCAGCTATTGCAATAGTAAGGTGCCAGTCGTCCGTCTGTTCATCTGTCCTTCTGTAAACAATTTTCAAAATATTCCTTCTTCTAGAGTTCTGATCTGATTTCAATATAATCTGGCACACAAGTAGACTACAATAAGATGCATAATTCTGTGTATCTTTTTTTTTTATTTCTGTGAACGGTGGTCCCATGGTTACTTAGAATAGCAATTTCTGTAAAATTCTTTATAAACACTACTTCTCATAGTTTTGGTCTGATTTCAATATATTGGCACACAAGTAGATTACATTAAGATACATCATTCTGTTCATGGGTTTTTGATATTGGTGAGCAGTGTTATCATGGTTACTAAAAATATTAATTTCTATGATTTCTTTCAAAACCCTACTGCTCTACATTTTTGGTCTTATTTTCATATATCTTGGCACACAAGTAAACTACACTGATATATGTAATTCTGTATATCGGTTTTTGAATTTGGTGAATGATGTTGCCATGGTTACTAAAAACAGAAATTTCTATGAAATTCGTTCAAAACGCTTCTCTTCCGATAGATTTGGTCTGATTTCAATATAACGTGGCACCCAAGGAGATTTCAAACTCAGATATATAATTCTGTGTTTATGTTTTTGATTTCGAATAGTGGTGTTGCAATGGTTACTAAAAATGGAAATTTTTACCGAAATAATTTTAAAACGCTATATTCCCTACAATTTTCGTTTGATTTCAAAGTATCTTCGCACACAAGACTACATTGATATACATAAATCTCTTCATCATTTTTTTAATTATTATTTCGATGAATGGTAGTTGCCATGGTTACTTAAAATAGAAATGACCGTAAAATTCTTTCAAAAGGCTCCTACTCCTTGAGTTTTGGTCCGATTTCAATTTAACTTGGCACAGAAGTATACTACATTAAGATAAATAATTCTTTTCATCGGTTTTGATTTTGATGAATGGTATTACCGTGGTTACTAAACATAGACTTTTTTGTGAAATTCCTTTACAACTCCCCTTACAGTTTTGAATATAACTTTGCACGATACAATAGACTACAATAAGAGACATAGTTTTGTTCATCAGTTTTTTATTCTGGTGAGCAGTGTTACCATAATTACTAAAATCAGAAATTTCTATGAAATACTTTCAAAACACTACTCTTCCTACCGTTCTGATCTGATTTCAATATAATTTGAAACACAAGAAGATTTCAAACTCAGAAAAATAACTTTTGGTATAAGTTTGTGATTTCAATAGTGGTTTTGCTATGGTTACTAAAAAAAGAGATTTGTGAAATATTCAAAATGCTACTCCTTCTACAGTTTTGGTCTGATTTCAATATAACTTTGCACACAAGTAGACTATACTAAGACACATAATTCTATATATCATTTTTTTTATTTTGATGAGCACTCTTGCCATGGTTATCAAAAAATAGAAATTTCTGTGAAATCAAATTCTTTCATCAGAAGGCTATTCCTTCAACAGTTTTAATCTGATTGCAATAAAACTTGCCATAAAAAGAGACTAAACTAAGGACCGTTATTTTATTTCATGCTGTTGAATTGTTTGTTTATAGTGCAAGTGCTACCTTACTCTTCATTTGTTCTTCCTTTGTTGCCCGCCGAAATATGGCTGACATACTGCCAACTCGGCGTTAAACAATAAACAATCCAACAATCAATCTTCCTTTGTTGCAAGTACAAACCATCAGAGCTACAGTCTCGTCAGAGACTTCTAGTTGTCTTTCTGTGATTATCTCATCTTGAAAGGAGCCAGGTCCTTCCTTTAAACAGATTAAAATTCCATTCAGGTATTTAACCAAAAAATACACTGTGCCAAGTATGGATGAAATTAGCCAAGTTGTTCAAAAGAAAATGATGAGAAAGTGAAAAGTTCATAAAGACAATGCAAACAACAGACAAATTTCAATTAAAAAAAAATTTACAAGCTTTTGGCTCAGATGAGTTTTAAAAAGCGGTCACAATGCTCATCTGCATTAGCTCTTTTAAATAAACTTTTATTTCAGTCATAGCAGAAGGTTAAGACAGCTCCTCAAACAAATAATCCAGTTAAATACATGAAAATGTATGTACAAAAAATAACTCAGGATTTCCAGCCTTATACCTCAAAACGGGAATGCAATTATCTAGCCCAATCTGTCATTAAAATCGTTGTTAAATCATTGAATGATAATAAAAAATATTTTCATGAATTTTATACTTTGGAAAAGACAGGGTATTTAGTTTCTTAATTAATTCATTTGCAAGATTTCATCAGGTTCGCAGCACTTTTCAAATATCTTCATACCTCTTGGGTTTATGTGTAAAAGCTTTTCGTAATTCATTGAGGGTATGCCCTTGCAATACATCGATTGATTACGACCCTTCTATTGCCCTTCAATGAATCTGCATACAAATGTACGGCAGTTTCACTTGTCTAGGGAATGTACGGGAAGTATATGAATAAAATCATAAAATAGACATCATATCCAAGTTAATGGCCTCTTATATATCTGCAAATAATATTTTAATTAATTACAAAACACATTTTTCATTGTATAAAATATAACTTGATCCGCCTCTCACTGCATACAAACTGCGTCAAATTTTACGATATGACGTCACATTGACCAGTGCATTGCGATCAGTGATTTGTTTTATATTGCTGTGTGGGATTTGACCAACGACAAAAATACATGCAATAGTAAGTATTGATGTAGTTTAAAGCTATCCAACAGTTTAAAATAGCATATCATTTCATTTTGTGGTAATTTGAAGAACATGTATTTTTGTGTGACGTCATAGTAAGCATTTCCCGTAAAAATTAGGCCCCGCCTCCTTATTGCAGCCTTAACTGTGCTGCGAACACATCTATGTACATCATTAACGAAATTTTATTATGTTTTCAATTACAAGCAAAAATATAAAGATTAAGTATAAGTATCTAGTTTGTTGGGGGTCTAAAGTGAAGATTAGACTATTGTAATACAAGCAAAAGGTAATTCTCGTTTAAAACTCATTTGTCATTCATATGAGTTTCCATGTGATTCAATCAACTTATCAACCAAAAGAACCCAAACACATATAAAACAATGGGACTATGACCAACGCTCATAATGTAAATTCTTTTTTAAAAAAGAAAAAGAAAACATTTATATTCTATTGTCAGAAAAAAAAAATTAAAAATAATCCAAAGGTTTCAGAAGACAGACTAGAGTAGTTCTGTATTACACTAAACATACACAGAACTTTAATACAGTCAAATGTTGCTATCTCAAACCGATAGAACCGAGAGAAAACTGAGATTTACAATGACTTGAGATATTGAGGTTAATAAAAATACATAAAGAAGAAGTGGTTGGGACTTTTAACTCATTTTGAAATATCCATGGTATTCGAGATATCAAAGTTCGAGATATCAAAGTTCAACTGTATCATCCCTAAAATGATTTTTTTTTCTTTCTTACAAATCAAACTTTTACTGAGGTAAAGAAGTTCAACAATAATTGCAGGAAAGACAATGTCCTTTGACAAAAATATTCAATTTCTTGTCAATTAAATCATATTTAATCAATAACTTGGGAACAACTTTACCCAGTCCCCAGAAAAAGTGTTAAAATATTATTTTTATACATTGTAACAAGCTTATTTTATACAATGTAACAAGCTTTCTCATTGTTCATTCAATATCATGTGTCAAGATATAGAAATTTGAATAGACTGCGACTTTCTAATTACGAACATTAAAAAACTTCAATAAACTGAGACTTTCTAAAAACAGATCCATCAACTTCTATTTCTAATTGTGACTTCATAATGGGTACAACTTAACAATGCCTCCAATGTGTGTTCACTCTACAGTGTTAACATAGATGTTTCATGTATCAAACATTAATCGATACAAAAATCATAAAACAAATTTAGCAATTTTGATTTGATACATTCCCTAAATTATTCCTTTAGAATAAAGGCAACACAATGACATCAAAACAGTTTACTTTATTCTGATGTCTTTAGTCTCTTTGTGTTAAAAAAGGAGAAAACTTTGTTCCATTTTTTTTTCTATCAATCTCTTTAATAATATATAATGAAGCCCTTTCATATGGTCAATCCATCGATATATCGACTTCCCAGAAAACTGTATCAACCTCACATGAATAGATATATCTATGGATCCACCTCTTAAGAAGGCTATATTTTGTATAGTGTCATTATAGGCAACTCCAATATATAAAAGATCGTGCAAGCAAGCACTAAAAATGAAAAATATGAGGTTTTTGATCCTTCTGACCCCAAATCAAAATCTGCAATGAAAAGTTTAGTTTAAAACTTCATTTTCAAATGAAGTTTTCAAATTTTCAAATTTTTAACCTACTTCTCTAAAAACTTTCAATATATATTGTTGTTTATTCAGTGAAAATTGACAAAAATAAATTTTTAACGAAGTGCATGTGGTGCCGTTTCTTTCATACTTAGCCTGACATAAACAAATGTTTTCCACTGAAAGTTCTTGCAAAAGTACATGAATCTGTAAGGCTTTCAATTGAATGATTTATTCAACTAAATTTAATAATTAATTTCAAGATTGTCCCTCTAATAAAAATACACTAACCCTAATCTCTCTGGTAATATGCATGGACTAACCCAAATCTCCTAGGTAGGTGCGAGACTAACCTTAACCAGTCAAATAGTGTGCTAGGACTAACCCTAATCTCTCAGATTGATGTGAGATCAACCCCAATTATCTACTACTTTTGTGAGAACTTTTCCTTACTTCAGTAATCAGTTTAGTGGTGTATGAGACTTAGCCTTAATAGTCGAGTGATGTAAATCTTACATCATAATGCAATGGGCACATGGATATTGTGGATCTGGGGACTGGTAAAGTTAAGTTTACCCATGAATTGAAAAAATTCCAGAATACATAATTAAAGGATCGCATGTATGACCCGAGCTTCTGATGTACATGTAGTTAAGGTATTTTAGCATATTAACATGTTGATTTACCTAAAGTGATACTATTAAAGTGATTGGTGAAAAAAGTCAAGACCAGTTCAAATCTTCTTCGGTATATAGTTAACGATAAAATTTTAGGAAAAGTTTTAAATTGACTTTCAATAAAGTAAACTGTAACTGTTCGTGATACCCACGTAAAAAGATATAAAAATAAAAACAAATGGACAAAATCAAAAAAGCCATTTCTAAATACATGTACATTAATTAATGTATACTTAATGATACTCCATTTAAAAGAAATAATAAAAACAAATAGACATAATCAAACAAGCTTTCCATTTTTAAATACATTCATTAAAGGACTTTTAAAGTATTGCATGATCTTTCAAAAATCGTAATTTTATGAAAAATATTATCTACAACCTTGTTTATTAAAATACTGAATACAATAAACGTTGTTGAAAGCATATCTTAATAGATATTGGGAGTTGAAATTCAAATACGGCAATATGCATATTTCAGCCCGATTTCAGCAAAATACTGCTCTGACGTCATAGGCGACAATTCAGTGATAGAGAGATGAGAATATGCACACTATTTACGGAGTTATCAACGACAAATGCAGCTTAATTACGAAAAATGCTGAAAAAATTAATTCCTAACGTGCTTTTCATTTACTATATAAACATTAACTAGTTCTAAGGTATAAGGCTTTTGAGATATTTTCGTTTTTTATTCCAAACATTTAGAATCTATAGCTCTGATTACGGCAATGTTTCGTGATCGGGAAATTATTTTTCAAGATCGCCATCCTTTAAAAAACGTATGAAGACTTGCATATATTAATATTATGTTAAAAACGAAGAACAACAAAGTTATATAATGTTAAATTTGTGAATCAAATAAGTAAATACATGTGATAAGATGACAAATCAAATCGTATTCTGATGGCGAGTTTCTTCGTCTTCGCCGCGTCTCCTTCGCTCTCATCGCTGCTATTTTTACAATGTTAACAGATTTTTCAGATTTTTTCTTGCTGACAGTTCTAACATATATGGTTGAATATTCAATTTCATATGGATAAAATAAGCGATTTGGTCGTCCACAACGCAGAAAATTCAGGTTGTATCGCATATATTTTCGTAAGATTAACGTGGAGCTGATCAGCCATTGTCGCCTTTGACATCACAGGGTCACGTGATCGCTATCTAATTAACTTTGATTTTTAAATCAGGGGTTTTTATTTGAGTCAATAATTGATTAATTACCGCGGTTTATCCGCAATAAAAACACAAAATTTATAAACTGTGGTCATAAGTAACGTTTTACGCTTTTAATTTCAAATAATTTAGAAACATGCAATAAGTCCTTTAATGCATACCATAAATGATAACCCCAATTTAAAAACTCAAAACAACTACACAAAATTTAACAAGTTTTCCATTCATAAATACATTCAATGACACATTCACCTAAAACTGATTGTAACACTTATTTAATACTTCCTTCAGTTATTCAGTTTTCTTTTTAGGCATAAGCCCTGGTATATGGACAATTTCCGTAAACAGCATGACCCCAATAAAGGTGAAAATAGTTCCAATCCAGTGAAGCGAGGTAAAAGGATTGTTGAAGTAAAATATGGATAGAATCAAACTGACGAACTTCCTTAAAGTGACTATTAATGTGACCGTTAAAGCTGTACACTCCGTTGTCAAGATAAACACACTCCGTATACAGATGTATCTGATTGGTCGTCAAGGAATTAATAAACATGACTAACTTAAATCAATAATACAGTGAAACACCCTTATAACGAAGTGCCAGGGACAGACAATTTTGCTTATTTATAAGAGTAATTCGTTATATTCATTAAGTTTACAATGAATTTTAAATTCATGTGGAATGAAAATCACTTCGCTAAAGCATCAATTTATTATAAACATGTTTGATATAAGCATGTTTTTCTGTATATACATATTGTGAACATTTTTTTATTTTCAGTACAATTTATCAAGGTTGACATTAATTGTACATGTGATTTTCAGATAAATGTAAGACAATAGAACATCTTTACTTCCGAGACAGGCTGCTTTGGAGTTTGGATTTATTAAGACAGTTTGCAGATTTAATTGCAAAGTCACAATTTTTTGTTTTTAACACTTACCTGACAATAAACACTGAAGTTTCTACATTTCAATATGGTACAATATGAACAGAAATCTTATAATATATGTACCATTAGTGATGTCTTTGAAATCAAGCATTTTTCAGTGCTATTAACTGGATTTTCTCCAGAGTGAAATCTTTACAAAGGATACTGGGTAAGTATATTGCCAGCAAGAAAGAGCCACATCTGTGGGACAGAAAAACCCAGGCCTAAACTCACTGGGGCTGGAAAAACAGAACCAGAATCATTTAAAATATTAGTCAACACACTGAATACACTTTATTTCATGATAGAAGTCTCATTCTATAAATTGAATTTTAAGACAAGAGCAAAGCTGAAACATTTGGGGCAGTCAGATGGATTTGATTGCCTGTGGCCAGATAGCCCAGTAGAGCACATGACCAATGGTTCAGGGGGCCCAGGTTCAAATCCTGGTCTAGTCCATTGTATCTTTCTCCTAATTACAGATTAACAAATAAAATGGTTTACTTTTCTTTTACTAAAGATGTTAGATAAATAAAATAACAGTGAAACTTGTCTAATCCGGACATTGTGTATTGTCTAATATGATCTAAACTTGAAGTCCCTATCAGTAAATTTCATTGTTTAAAATGTTGCCTAATCCTGAATGTTGTCTAATCTGACCAATTTTTCTGGAACCAGTGGTGTTCCGTTTAGACAAGCTTTACTGTAAATCAAAAATCTTCATTTAGATTGAATGAAACAAAAGAGCCTTTATTATTTTGCTTACTGTTGGGCAACATTTTTATTATTTGTCAACTTTCTTGACTTACTTGTTTGATTAAAAAGTGTCACATGATGAGCAATGTCAGAAGCTAAAAATACAAATCCTGGTAGAGGAAGGAAGTGCTGAAAAAAAAGGGTTTTTTAATCAACAGAGCAAAGGGAGACAACTGGTTCTAGTCTATACACAAACTGAACATGTATTATATAAAATAAGTACTGGCAAATTCCATATAAATCAAACATCCTCACTGCTCTCTCTCTATTTATAATTCAAATTTTATGAGTCATAAAAATATTGATATAAATTAAAAGAAATCATGGAAGGCGATAACTTTCCAAAATTGACCTGTAGGTAGACGGAGAAACAATACACTGTTCTAATATTTGCTGTCCTTTGTGGGGCTTATTACAGTTTCATTCCTTTTCTATTATAAAACATAGTATACTGACCACTATAAGAAATGCACCACAAAATAAGTTATTTTCTAAAAATACAATTTTTTATCAAAAATTTAAATTCACTTGAAATATCTTTGGTATTCACAAAGCTGGAAGAAAAACAGGTAAGACACTGACAATCAAATCGAAAGAAATGGGGTTTTTTTTGTTTTCAAAAACAGACTTCTTGTTCTTGCTATCCGATATCAAGTTCAGTCACTTTCTTCTGAAAACTTGTTCATTTTGCTATGTAATCTGAGTCACTCAGTGAAAATGCATAGATTCTTTACAAAGCTTCTTCTCTACCCATGTATATTTAGCAGACAAACTAAGTGCATGATAATAATGAGCTAGGGTGCATCTTCCAAAAATGTGAAATTCAAGGCCCCAAGTCTGGGTTCTGGTGTTAGGGTGGGGCCTGATCATAAAGTGAAAATGCATTATTTCTTTTAAAATCCTCTCTTCTGCTCCTGGGTATTAAGCAGACACACTAAGTGCATGGTTCTTATCAACAAGAGTGCCTCTTCCAAAATTGCTAATTTCACCACCCTGGATCAGGGGAAGAGATGTTAGGGTGGTTCTTATGGTTCTTATAAGCAAGGGTGCCTCTTCGAAAATTGTTAATTTCACTGCCCTGGATCAGGGTTAGAGATGTTAGGGTGGGGCTCTATTGACAATATCATGAAAATGCATTATTTATTTGAAAATATTTTTCGTTTCCTGGGTATATAGCAAATTAAGTGCATGGTTTTTATGAACTGGATCGCCTTTTCCAAAATTGTGAGTTTCATGGCCCCTGTCTCAGGGGTCCTGGTGTTAGAGTGAGGCTCTATTGATAAAATAGTGAAAAATCATTCTTCTTCTCTGCCCTTTGGCATTTAGCAAACAATCTAAGTGCATGGTAATGACGAGCTAGGGTGCCTCATCCAAAATTGTTAAATTCATGGCCCCAGAGTCAGGGGTTCTGATATTAGGGTGGGGCTCTATTGATTATTATATGGCAGGGCCCTGTTGATTATTTACTGAAAATGCGTTAATTCATTGTAAATTTCATCTCTACTCCTGGGTTATTAGCAGATAAACTAAGTGCATAGTTATGATGAGCATGGATGCTTTATCCAAAATGGCTCCTAGGTTATGATGGGACTCTATTGATAATAAAGTGAAAATGCATTACTTTTTTTGTAAATCTTCTCTGCTTCTGGGCATCTAGGAGGCAAACAGAGTACAAAATTGTAATGAGTAAGGGTGTTTTACCAGATTTGTAAAATTCTTGACCAATGTTTTGGTGCAGGGCAATGCTGTATTGATCTTGTAGGGAAATATGAACTCCACTGAGAGAAATAAATCCCCTTTACTATTGACCTTTGATAATTAATCACCATAACTACTGAATTTGATAGATCAATTGGATTAAAGATTTATACAGGGGCTTTTAATATGTAACACATACCACAATCATAGTTTTCAATGGCTTAGTAGACTAGATAAATAAAAATGAGACAAAAATTATTATATTTTTAAAAAATACCTTATCTTAGTACTACACTAAATATTTTTCAAAGACCAAGTGAGGCCAATATGAGAGAAAGTGATAAATATACTACATGATCTCAAGCACTGTTGCAATGCCTAGTTTGCATGGTGATTGTGACAAATGGGAGTGTATTAGTACTGGCAAGTACAGGCAAATAAATTGATCTACTTTATGATTTGTTACAGAGTAGTACATTAAGTATTTTGTGCATCCCTGACCATCCTATTCTCTTGCATTTGGGCAGCATATCTTCACTTATACAGTTACTTTGTTTTATTTTATACTTCTATGGATCCTTTGTTGTTTTATACTCAAGTGACTGTTAAGGCCCTTTGATTCCAATTCCTGCAGTCAAAAACAGGGCCACTGTCAACATCACAAAACCTTGCACTGAAGCAGAGGACATTTATTGGTCTTTACCCTTTACATTTTTAAGTCCCTCCACAACTATGACATGGGATAAAGAATCACAGGGCAGAAATTTTGACAAATATCTATTTTCAGTTTCTATTAAATGTGCTACTCTTTTAGAATTTTAAAGTTGATGCTGCAAGATGCCTAAAGATTTTGAGTGTCAGTTTTTTTAAGAAGGCTCTGACTTACATTATAGAAGAGAGACTCTTTGGGGTGTTTTCCGTACTGGCCATATATCTTCTCCTGAAGGATTCCCATTCCTGCAGTCAAGAACAGGGCCACTGTCAACATCACAAGACCTGTCAACGATAAAAAAACAGGGCCACTGTCAACATCACAAAACCTGTCAACAATAAATAAACAGGACCACTGTCAATATCACAAGACGTCAATGAAAAATATACAGGACCACTGTCAATGTCAAAAGACCTATCAACAATAAATAAACAGGGCTACTGTCAACATCACAAGACATGTCAATGAAAAATATACAGGACCACTGTCAACATCAAAACACCTGTCAACAATATATAAACAGGATCACTGTCAACATCACAAGACTTGTCAACAAAAAATAAACAGGGTCACTGTCAACATCACAAGACCTGTCAATGATAAATAAACAAGGCCACTGTCAACATCAAATGATCTGTCAACGATAAATAAACAGGTACACTGTCAACATCACAAGAACTGTCAATGAAAAATAAACAGGGCCACAGTCAACATCACAAAACCTAGACTGTCAACAATAAATAAACAGGGCCACTGTCAACATTACAAGACCTGTCAACGATAAATAAACAGGACCACTGTCAACATTACAAGACCTGTCAATGATAAATGAACAGGGCCACTGTCAACATTACAAGACCTGTCAATGATAAATGAACAGGGCCACTGTCAACATTACAAGACCTGTCAGAGATAAATGAACAGGACTACTGTCAACATCAAATGATCTGTCAAAGATAAATAAACAAGGCCACTGACAACATCACAAGACATGTCTATGATCAAGTTAAAAGTCACCAAGTAACAAGTACCGGTACCTAGACTTAAGATTAATGTCTGAAAGGTAAATATATGTACAATACACATGCAAGAATGCAGAATTCTTAGAAAGCTATGTTGACATTCAAACTACAGTCAAGCCTTGTTAATCTGGATGCTGTGCAAATTGTCTGGATTAATGAAGTGTGTGGAACTGTGGATTATTGGGGGAAAAAAATTAGTTTTGTGGAATCATCAATGCTCATGGTGGACCAATGTTCATGGATTTTGTGGGTCACCCTTATCCACAAATTTACATCCCCATGAACCATTATTTTGTTAACACATTTATTCATTGAATCTTCTGTATATACAAGTTACCCATGAACTTGCGTCCCCACAAGCCAATAAAATGTTGCTTGCCCACGAATATTGACACCCACAAATTAAAATGATTCCATAGTATCTAAATATAAATTGTTCCCCCCAAATACCGTCTGGAGTATAAAGCATCAAGATTACTGGAATCCAGATTAACAAAGCTCCACTGTACTACTTTGAAAGAATCTTATTTCATAATTCACCTTGAAGAAGATTTGCATTTTTATTTAAATTTTGAATTGCATGCCTGAATAAAAGCAGAATTTTTAGAGTGGTCTTAAAAGGCCATAACTTGAAACCGTGCCTTTCTTTGACAAATGATTTTTGAGAGAGATTTGAAACATCACTAATACTTTTACAATTTCTCTCTCTCCATAGAAGACAGTTAACACAAAAAAGTTCATAAACATTTATTTCATAATGAAGTAAACAACTAAAAATGATAAATAAAGTATTTCAGCTTCTAGTTCAGAGAAGACTAATCTGCACCTTACTTATAGTCCATAACATCAGATCCTTACCTAGAGTCCACAACACCAGATCATTTACCTAGAGTCCATAACATCAGATCCTTTACCTAGAGTCCACAACACCAGATCATTTCCTAAAGTCCACAATATCAAATCCCTACATAGAGTCCACAGAGCCATATACTAACATAAAGACCATAACACCAGATCCTTAGCTACAGTCTTTCCCCAGAGTCCACAATATCAGATCCTTACCTAGAGTCCACAACATCAGATCCTTACCTAGAGTCCACAACACCAGATCCTTATCTAAAGTCCACAACATCAGATCCTTAGAGTCCACAACATCAGATCCTTGGAGTCCACAACATCAGATCCTTACCTAGAGTCCACAACACCAGATCCTTACCTAGAGTCCACAACATCAGATCCTTTACCTAGAGTCCACAACACCAGATCATTTCCTAAAGTCCACAACATCAAATCCCTACATAGAGTCCACAGAGCCATATACTAACATAAAGACCATAACACCAGATCCTTAGCTACAGTCTTTCCCCAGAGTCCACAATATCAGATCCTTACCTAGAGTCCACAACACCAGATCCTTATCTAGAGTCCACAACATCAGATCCTTACCTAGAGTCCACAACATCAGATCCTTAGAGTCCACAACATCAGATTTTTACCTAGAGTCCACAACACCAGATCCTTACCTTGAGTTCACAACACCAGATCCTTACCTAGAGTCCACAACATCAGATCCTTACCTAGAGTCTACAACATCATATCCTTACCTAGAGTCCACAACATCAGATCCTTACCTTTAGTCAGTCCACAACATCAGATCTGTATCTAGAGTCCACAACATAAGATCCTTATCTAGAGTCCACAACATAAGATCCTTACCTAGAGTCTACAACATCATATCCTTACCTAGAGCCTACAACATCAGAGCCTTACCTAGAGTCCACAACATCAGATTCTTACCTAGTGTCCACAACATCAGATCCTTACCTAGAGTCCATAACACCAGATCCTTACCTAGAATCCACAACACCATATCCTTACCTAGAGTCCACAACATCAGATCCTTACCTAGAGTCCACAACACCAGATCCTTGAATACATTCTCTGCCTCTGTCTCTGGGTCTTTAGACAGCTCCTACAATATAAGTCCTCTATTAATTTTACTTTCTTTAATTTAATCCAAAATATCCAGAATTCTGTAAAAACTCTATTTTCATAGAATTTTTTTTTTTTTGGTTTGGTTTGAAGGAAAAATGTTTGTTAGTGGGGACTTGAAGAGGTTTTTTGAGGTTTCTTCTGGAAATGAAAGTATTCCACACAGAATGTATGAATTTCTGACTTGCACTTTGACCTCAAAATCAATAGAGGTCTTCTTTAGGCCATGAGGAGATGTGACATAAAATTTCACTGCAAAAGCTCAAAGGCTTTTTGAGATATCCTCTGGAAATGAAAGCTTTACACACAATGTCAGACACCTGGACGGATGGACAGCTAAACAGCAGACAGAGCGATGGATCCAAATAAACATCCCCCCCCCCCCCCCCCACGCTTTCAGGAAAAGTTGGGAGGCAATAAAAGATTTGTATCATTTTGAAAATGTAAGTATACTAAAATATATATGAAAAAAAGCTGACTTAGAATAACATTAACTAAATGACATTGAATCTTTGTACACGTACTTGTGTTCCTATAGCCTGCCTTGTATTACTATGCATAGCCATTCAAACAAGTTACTATCTTACATTTACCTGCTATTCTTTGAAACACAGGGAAACATAATAATGAAATCTACATACAATAATTTCTCTATCCTTCAAAACTTTTATGAAGCTTTTACAGTTCATGTAAATTGTTACCTTGGTGTTAAAGTTTAATCCCTACTTCACTGCACCAAGCGTTGTTTTAATTTATATCTGAAATAAGCTCTGATCTCAGATTTTAAATTTGCCATGGATAATCTAATGAAAATTAGCTGATATAGTACACTAATTTTTTTCATATTTTAAAGGCTACTTTTTTGGACCAATTTTCATTTTCATTCCTTCAAAACATCTTTGATAGTAAAACAAGATATAGTAGGTACAGACCCTAAAACGTGCTACTACACCACTTGCAATGTTCGGTTAGTTTCATTTTGTGTACGTTACGGTTTGCTTTGTGAATGGTACAATATGTTTTGTGAACAGTACAGTTCGCTTTGTGCACGGTACGGTACGTTTCTTGTATGGAACGGGTTTGTTTTTTGTACGTTACGATTTGTTTTGTGCATGGTACGGTATGCTTCTTGCACGGAACAGTTCGTTTTGTACATGGTACAGTACACTTTTTGCACGGAACAGTTTGTTTCGTTTCTGAGGTGTAGTAGCAGGTTTCAGGGTCTGTACATGATATAAACTTTGAATCTACAATAGGCCTACCTTATCCTCGTGCACATGTTTGACCTCCTGTTGAGCTGAGGCTATTGTACATATGGCAATACCCGCTGTAACTAAGGCAACTGACAAATATTTGGCTCTTGAGTACCTACAAAAAAAAAATCAATGGAAAAAGATTATTAACTGTTCCATTATGTAAATTAAAGAAAAAAAATCAGAATTCAATTATTCAAGCAACTAATTTTGTTCTTATATGGATATATTTTTGCATTCATAGATATATGGAAGGATAAATAAAATTCTGTTCCTAAAATATGACCAATACAGTCTTCACAAAAAGAATACAAAATCAAGAAAATATGATTTGTTTCTTTTAACAAAGGATAAGCCTACTTTCCATTTACACTTACTTTTTTTCTCTTTTAAACTAATTTTTTTTTGGGGGGGGGGGGGGGGGGGGGGGGCAATACAGTGTATATCGGTATTTTGCAATATTAAACCCAATGAAAATATATTGCAACATTTTTGCAATGACAATATGCTAACCAGAATTTTTTTCCAAAAAGAATAATATGGTGAATCTGTGTTCAAAACTCAACTGCACTTACGTTTTCTTGTTTCAGATATTGCTTTGTTTAAAAATTAATAATAGAGTAAAAGGATTAATATTTATAACCAGCTTTACAATTTGAATTTGATTCAACACAAATTCTTGGAATTCTTACTCTAAATAATTTTAAAACACCATGTAAAGTACATATTTTTGTTATACCAAAGGGAGGGAAGGGGCTCGAAACTTGTTGAATGATCCTTCAGATTACAATTCTTTAATTATGAGTCTTAAGTCACAGTATACATACATTAAAACCAGGCGCAGATCCAGGAATTGAAGTTACAGGGGGAGCAAAAAGTAGGCCAGGGGTCTGGGGGCCGCCTTGAGGCCCCCAGTGGGTTGAGGACGAAGCCCTGGTGGGGGCCCAGGGGGCGAAAATGAGGTCTACCGAATAGACATTTGCACATTTTCTCTACGAAACTATGAATTACGCTAACTTTGACAATTTTAGGGGGGCACGTGCCGGGTGCACCCCTCCTCTTAAATCCACCACTGAAAACAATAAAGGAAATGCTGAGATATGAAATGAAATTCTCTGGTGGTTAGCATTTGTCAATGTCCTTCTCCACTGTTACATGTAAACACTTCTCTATCACAAAAAATAGTGACTTCAAAATCTGCAGGAAACTATGTAACAGTGGACAACAATTAATGTTCAAAACCAAGACAGGGTATTTTGTTTTAATTGTAATAAATAAAATACATCTCTGACCAGTCTATGAACACTTCTTGAGAAAAGATTAACAATTCAATATACATGCATTGCAATACTTATGGCAATATGCCATTAAATATTGCAATATATTCACATTATAATTTTTTCTGGCAATATCCACCCTTAACAAATTATAGTTTTTATTCTTAGTTTCTCTTTTATACTTACTTTCTTTTCAGGATTAGTACACCTAGCACCAAACTGGGAATCATGGAACCCTGGAAAACATATGAACTTATTATCTATCCATCTAATAACTACAAAACTTAAGCATAAGATGCATCTCATCAGTTTGATAAATAATGACTTACTGCTCTGAATATCATTTGTAGAGGTACAGACACACGGAACATGTAGGATGCATTGTTTGCCACCTGGACAAGGAAAAAGTACACCACCATGCCAACATATTGTCTGTAAAATATAACAAAATCATATAATCTGTCTCTCGGTACAATTCAGATAATGTACATAGCAAATTCCTAATTTCTGCTGAATTCGAATTCAACATATAACAAATAACATCTAATCATGCAGTATCACTTTCTTTTTAAAATCAAAATCATTTTCGAGTCCAACACATTCATTTTGTATACAGTGCATCTAATATCAATAGAGAGGTTGAGATTTCATACGTGTATGGGTACGTCTAGTAGGGGAATTCCCTAACTTTCTTGCGTATTATGTCATCAGTTTTGGTGTTGATAAGTTTTCTACGTTCCTACAACTTGTAAAAAGGCATCTACACGTAAGTGTAAACTTGTAGCTTTTTCAATAAAAACTAGTCAATTTATGTGTGAAACTGTTATTGTTGTTCATTATTTAGGACGTTAAGTTTCATGAACACTTATTTTAACCATGTTTTGTTCACTAACTAAAGTCACATTTAATGTCACAAAACTACTATATATATAGTTGAAACAAAGACACCGATTGCAGTCCACACATTCATGTTACACATATTAAAATCTCAACAGACAAATTACAAAAAACGTATACATCAAAGTTTGTGCACACGTACACATACGTGTACAAGTCTCAACCTCTCTAATATATATCAGATGCTGAAACATTCTAGATGAATGCATTACAACTACAATCACTGCAATCACTGACACAACAAAGTAAAAGTAAAAGTACAACTTGATCTCTTGGGAGTCACCTCACAAACCTTAGGGTTCATGATGATTGGAAAGAGAGAGGGGGCACTAACCTGAGAGGTATCTTAGGGATAACTGTAAAAAACTTGGAAGTAGTGATGAGGCCCTCACAGGAAATAAATAAAAACTGAGAGAATGTTATTAGATTCCCTGCTGTTGGAAAAGCACTGAAACAAAAAACGAAACTGTGTCATTCAAAAACTAAGGTGCACTCAAAACTAAGACAAAATCTTTGGAATTTTTTTTTACAACAGATTATACACTCAACCAGTTCAATAATTAACAATAGAGTTGCTTTAAAACTGAACAATTAATTTGTAAAAAATGAATTTTTAGATACATTACATTTATTTAACAAAGTACACTGTAGTGCTGTATAAATAATCAGTAAACATCTGTCGCAGGTGGTGAAAAATCAAGTCTCAATTGAGACTCGAATCCAGGGCCTCTGGCATACCATGCCAGCGCTCTAACCACTGAGCTATTGAGCCCAATATATTGACTCTCTTTCACACACCTGTGAACCCGGTGACACATCAATTAACAAAAACCAGGATGGAGATCTTGTAAAAATGGATTAACAATACGTAGAGATTGGTTTTCTTGTGACAGTTGTATTTATTTATGTTAAAATTGTGAATATAACATGTCTGTTAAGTACATTCAGACATATTTTAGACAAAATGTCAGTTGAAGTGTAGGCCGTCACCGGTTCTAAATTTACACGTTTTCCAGAATCAAAACATGAAGGCTTGCGAAGGGAATAGATAATATACAAACACACGATTCTTCTATATAACCAGGTCTGGCACAATCTCTTGATTTAGCTATATAGCTTATTTTAGCTATATAGCTTTATCAAGCTATCCAGAATAGCTTGATTTAGCTATTTTTTCACATTTTGTTTTTAAACGTGTTATTTTCCCAGCATGCACAAAAAGTCGCACCTTGGTGCAGTGATAATATTCAACCTTGAACTCTTCTGAAAATAATGCATGTAAAATTCACTCATCAAATTGCGTCTCCTTAAGAGACTTTGTACTCAAAGTTCTAAAAGTTTTCTGGCTATATAAAGCAATTGATACAATTACTTCTTCAATGAAATTATAAAGGAGGCCAATTATGGTCAACAAGCAGAGTTGTGGAAAACTGTCGGTCATGCTGGCAGAACCGGCAAAAAATGCGTATGACCGGTAAAAATGCTATCGATGTCGGTCCAAATGACCGGCCCCTTTTTGGTTAATTTTTTTTCCATTTATCACCGGCGCACTTTACAGCTTAATTACTTATATGCGATTGCGTAATACTTTTCTTTACACGAGATCGAGGCTTTAGATAAAAGCGAAACCTGCATGGTCTCGTGACCTATAAAATTTACAACTGGGACAGAATTAGGTAGAAAACATAATAAAGACAAGACAAATATGAAAAATTTCGACAGAAAGAATTCAAACACGGTTGGGGAAAGTGGTAAATCTAATACTTCCGACTGTCCCGGATTTCGTTTTTTTCATCGATCGTGTTGAAATTCTTTATTATCGATGCACAGAATTTTCTCAATTTTTCTAGGTTAATTTAATTCCCAAGTGCATAATTGTTTTAAAAAAAATATGTTAACTATGCTAAATTAACATTGTCAACAGCCCCAAAGCGGTGAAATCTAGCATTGTTATAAACACGATAAAAAAAAAAAAAAAAAAACGAAAACGGAAGAGGACTTGGGTATGGAGACTGAATGTTATATATTATTATTAAATAGATGTGTAATGAAGTAAATAAATGTTATGTTTTTTTTTTATTTTGCGACCTACTATTTCGGACCGGCAACAATCACTTCGGACCGGCTTATTTTGTCTTCTTGCCAGTCCAAATGACTGGCTATCTGAAAAAGTTTTCCGCAACTCTGAACAAGATAATTGATTGGTAATAATTCAGTACAATGAGAAGCAATCACACTTATCCACGCCTCAACATACACAAGGTAGTGTACAGTAACTCAAACAATGGAAATTCATCTTTTACTTAAAAGTTTTCAAATGCTGCAATGTAAGAACTATCTTTGATTTCGATTGTTGTTTTGATAACCCACAGTATATATATACTGATGTCTCATAATATTGCGGTACTTATTTCTTTTGCGTAAAAAAGTTATTCCAAATTCTTACATTAACTTTTCACCCAGTACTATTCATAAACCCATCAATGGCCTAACTTTTTAGTGGCTAATTATTTTCTAATCTTTCTTCGTTTACTTTGTAGTCTATTTTTAAAACAGGAACTCTTATTTACCTCCTAAAGTGGAGAGTCTCATTGTATTGCGGTATTGAAAAACTTGGAAGCTTGGCGATGTCACAAAGTACGATTTTTATTTTTTAATGTATGATGTAAATCTACATGAAAACTAAACAATAATACAAATGTAAGGCTTTCAAAATATGAACTTTATTATGAATTTTACTTGGTTATATATTCAATGGCCTAAATAAAATAAAAACGGGAATGGAAATCTGTAAAATTACGTTTTATTTGAATAAATATTTTTCCAACGGGTGTTCCATACTTTTTAGTCATCACAAAAGTCAACATTCAGATGACAGACAGATAGTCCATCAACAAAAAAGGATATGAGCTATGTATCCTAATCTTTGGGAAATACCGCGATACAATGGAACCTACGATATAATGAGAAATAAGGATATATGAACAGTCAAATACCTGCGACTTTTTGTCTATTTCTTTCAAAAAACATATTTTTGAAAAACTGCACATAAATAGCTTTATCAAGCTATTTTGAATAGCTTAATAAAGCTATATGGCTTTTTCAAGCTATATACTAGCTAAATCAAGAGATTGTGCTGGACCTGATAACATCATGACATGGGAGACCTGAGGCTCAGAAGGGCCAGTGGGTTTACATTTGCTTATTATTACCTGATTAAATACTCAAGGAATATCATGTTACTACAGCATCCTATGAAGACGAACGCTATGGCTATTACTGGATTCATTTTCACCGGTATTGTGTTTTTGAATCGTCAGCTTAAAATCTTCTACTTCCGGTGAGTAATTTCAGTTGACTCGAACATTGACTAACTCGTACTAAGAATTTCTTGCGCAGGTTAAATACTGCACACATTTGTCTTGTAGAACAAATATTTAAAATTGAACAGAAGTCCACTAAATAAGAAAAAAATAAGTTTGGAAATGGGAAACATTCCATCAGGGACCTATATGTTAGCAGTCTGATTAAAACCAGCCCCCCCCCCCTTCTCCTTTCACTCGTCACCCGACGAGTGAAAGGAGAAGGGGGGCTGGTTTTAATCAGACTGATATATTAGTATATAGGTCCCTGATTCCATCTGCTTTATTTCTTCAAATAGCTGCAATTATGTAGCCGCCCTCTCCTTTTTTCGGGGGGGGGGGGGGGCTCCTCTCCAAATATATCAGATTTAAACAAATCGGAGAGGGTTACATTATTGCCTCTCCAGAAAATATCAGATTAAAAAAATCGGAGAGGGCTACATTATTGCAGCTGTTCTTCAAATAGAAATGAAATACGCCTATATTATTTATAACTTGTTTCTGCTAATAACCTAGCATTTGCTCTCTCTCTCTCTCTCTCTCTCTCTCTCTCTCTCTCTCTCTGTGCCAGTGAATTAAACAAATGCAGTCGACAACTCTAAATTTGCCAACGAAAAAAAAACATGTACATGTATGCATGATTAAAATGAATTATAAATCATGAATTTCGTTTAGACCATGATAAAAAATATCCTTGTAAAAGGTATCTTTCAGTCCGACTAAAAAACAAACACATCAGCAAAGTATTGATTAATAAATGAGAAAGAAACTGTAATATGTTGCATTGTCAATTTCTAGTTTAAAAAAAAAGAAATGAAAATGTCACACATTAAAAATATGATGAAACACACTTGAATTCCTCTTTAGAATTTCCTGCTTTAGTTATAGGATGTTTGATTTGTTCCTTTACTGGGATAAACATTTTAAAGAGTCTTAAACTAGAATTGCATCAAAAAGGCTAAACATTGGGGGGGAAAATCTTGAAAAAAATTGATAAAAAGGTCATATTTGTGACATTTTTAAACGTTTTCTTTGAAAACTAGAATTGCATTAAAAAAAACTGAACATTGAACAAAAAAATCTGGGGAAAAAATAATAATAATAATAATAAAAAAAGTTCATATATTGACATTTTAATTTTTTTTCTGAAAACATGCAGGGGCGTCGGCAAAGGGGCGGCAGGGGCGGCGGTCGCCGCCCCAATAATGCAAAACAAAACAACAACAACAAAAAATGAATTTAAGAAAAATGAACTTTAAATGAGAAAGATACTGAATTACAAAATTTGTAATGGCAACATCTGTGGTCAATGGAGCGGCAAGAATAACGGCAATCTGTGGTCAATGGAGCAGCAAGGTGTGAAAGCTATTGTTTAGACAGACGCAAATTAGGATGTACGTGTATATATACCTGTACCTGGCGTGTGTAAACAATAAGCAGGGTATCCATCGCTCCACGCGCAAGTTTGCTACAAATTCTTTTTCAGGCCCACAGCTAGTAACGTTTTTGAAAATTCTTGTTTTTGGGGCGGGGTGGGGGTTCTCTAATTTGTTTTTTTTAAAATGCTGGAATTTGTCTGAGTTCGACCTATAACAGCAACAAAGAGTGTGTATGAAAGGGGGGGGGGTGCAGGCAGCGTTAAAATTAATGAATTTTTACATATGAAAACTTAAGAAAAAGAATATCCTCAGAAAAAAAGTGGAGAAAGTGGGAAAAAAATTGGAGGCACCCCCTCCCTCTCCCCTGCGTATAACAGGCCTGTTCATTATCTTTAAGTATCAATCGGCCGATCGATGTTAGGAAGTCTTTGATGAATCGATCGAAGTTGTAAGCTGATAAATTAAAGCTAAAATACTTAGTAAAATTACTATTTCAAACAACTTCAGTTATTTTTTTTTAAAATGTCATACATATTTCTGCATTTCAAAAATGTAGGGATTATGAAGGATTAATCACCCTGTTTATTGAAAATTTTATAATTAATTATGCATTTCCTCGGCAAGTAACAATAACTATTATGCAATAATAGAAAATTATATGATGTATTTTAATCGTTATCTCGTCATAAACCCTTCAAAGTTTTTTCTATGCCATTTAGAAAACAAAAAACAAACAACAACAAAAATCTCCTAAATATTTAATTTTTTTTAAAAATAGAACGTGTAACTTAAAACACATAAGACATTTTTTTTTGGGGGGGGGGTCATTTTAATTGTTCTATACCTTTAGGCTATTGACTTATACGGAAAAATATCAAGATTTTGGCAGAAATTTTAATTATTCAGTTTATGTCACAAAAAGTTAGTAAGGAACTCCCCCCCCCCCTTTTTCGACCCAGTTCGCCTCCCCAATGTGAAATACTTGTCAACGCCCCTGACATGCCCGCCAGAGGGACGTAAAACAAAAAAAATAATTTACTAATGGCCTTACTCTGCACTAGTTGTGTGTGCATTTTATGAATTAAATTTGATTTTCAGCATTTTGACAAGAAGTCTCCATGTGTAACAATTAAACAAGTATTAGCTTTCCTAAAAAGCTTGTCTGACTTGAGCATATTTATTTTTACGTGAAGAATCAAGAAATGTCAAATACAGTGTAATCAACATGAGTCTTAGTCATGAAATGAATTCTTTTGCTAAGAAACAAAACAAAATTCAATTCAGTGGCATCAACATAAAATAAAACTTGTCATGAATTTATTCTGTGTACATTATATTACTTGTAATTTCTTTTTTTTCTTAGATGTAGGAAACGGGGGGGGGGGGGCAATAATTTTGTCGATTTATATACATAGCTATTTTATGATTGTGTCACCTAAATCATGTAAATATTAACTTCTGATAACTTTTGTATGCTCTATAAGGAATTTTTCCTTGATAGTGTCCACCCTAAACTGCAAATTTCTGAAATTTCTTCCAACGGGTCTGTTCATTGGATACAAAGATAAAACCAGTCTTTTTGAAAGAAAAAGTTGCAACATATAAAAATCAATTGGTGAACAATTTTGATGGTTAAGAAATGTCTTATTTAAAGAAATGAACGTTGCTAACATCTTTGCATTTAAGGACAAATGATACAAACAAAAAATGGATGTCTGGATAGGTGTATATTTTTGGACCTATTTTGATCGAAAATGATGCAAATAATAAATTTCTAAATTATAAAGAAATTGTAGACCTTCTATGGTGTTCAAAATTCTACCTGTCTTCAACCATCCTTATTAATCTATACAATTTTTGTCACTTTAAATCTTATTAATGTGAAATTTCGAATGAAAAATTAAAAACTATGCGGTTAAAGGATGACTGCACTTAACGCCGGTTTTTGGGTCTTTTTCGGTTGCTTCTGTTGCTTTTATATCTAAACCTTAATTCACTTTTGTATATTTATGAAAGAATCCTGTCAATTTGGAACCAAATTTAAATCTTAAAATGATTTTAGACTGTGAAACAATAAAATGATTCAATGTTTTTTGTCCTTACTGCTTTCCAAATATAGAGAATTTACACTTACCTGCCCTTGATTGAACATTAGATATGCATGAGAGGTGGAGCTAACATTGTAAGAATGGGTCTAAAATTAGACTAGATAAATAACAATGACATGTTTGAAATAAGGAATGTGATCACTCTTTCCCATCTCCATCTCCATTCTATATGGCACAAATACACTACTGTCAAAGGTTTCAAAGCGAAATTAACAATATGATCACGTCCATGTAATTAAAGCAGATTTTTTATCAATGCCAGATGACTTAACGTGTTCGAACACAATGTCCTAGTTAGCACAAAACATGCTACCTTACAAGTCACGTGACGGAATTTAGTATTCACAGAGTTACCTGAGGTAGGAAATCACGTGGTGAATTATAATATTCAACATGTCACAACCCTTGGTTACAACACAGAGAGCGAATGTAAGAAGAAGCAGTTTTTTCTCTTTTTAACCATGAGCGCATGTTTGTCTATTAATCTCCTTTTGACACATTATTATTTATGCAAATATACAACTACTGTTAAACGTAGAACAATAGACAAACATGCGCTGACTATGTATGAAGTCAGTAAAAAAGTGGGCGTCCTCATTATCGAACGGAGATTCAAGAAATTGTGATGACCCCTGCCTTTGAAAACAGATTCGAACTTCGTAAATACACACTTTTATTAAACGTAATTACATAAAGTTGTAGATTGGATGTTGACCATTCTTGCAATGAAAAGAAAAATGCTTGTTTTGAAAGTTTATTTTGTCGCAAATTTCGCATATCCTTAAGTGCAGTCATCCTTTATTCATTTTACTTATATAAACATGGCTTTAGTTGTTATTTTCAAGATATTCAATAAAAGTTTGTTTGTATCATCTGTCCTTAAGCAAAAGAATATTCAACATCTATCCTTCACTTTGATAATTTTTGAACTATGTTATAGTTACATTATAGATATTAATTGGTTATTCGTAAATACACTCACAATTTTTAATTCACGAGGGGCGGAAATCAAACATCAGATATTAACTGGTTATTGGTAAATACACTCACAATTTTTAATTCACGAGGGGCGGAAATCAAACATCTGCAAATTATGAATATGTGTAGATTTATAAAAATTCTAAAGGTAGAGAGTCTTTGTATGTATTGAAAATAAACATCCATTAGTTAATCTGATAAAGATAATCGACAAGTGTTGACCTGATTAGCTTCATTCCTGCTGTTTTGCTGGACATAAATGATATGCATTCGAGAATGGCCAAATGTTATGTAACCTGTAATGTATAATGTGATAATAAATAGGTCCAGTACTCTGGCTTGTTTGGATGTTTAGCATGATTGTTTTCTGTACTCCCCATGCTCTCCAACTGAGTATGAAGTTTCCAAGATCAAGTTATCACAAGAATTCTATTGAACGACTTGACCAACAAGCCTTGGCTAAATCTAATACTGTCTGACG